CTTTTTCAAACTTTCGAAGAAAATGTCTTTGAGTTGTTGCAATTAAGTGTTGTTCCTTACCCTCTCAGAGCGGGCTGCGACATCTTAGAAGATAATAGCAATAGAGAAGAAGCAATATTTCCATAGTGGAGATAGCTATCAAAATTTTGCTTTTTCGTAATATGTATAAAAAAAATAATGCACCTAAAATGGCCAACATCTGTAACAAGTAATTCAAGAGAATGCATCTTGTGCCTTACAAGAATAATAAATCAAGCTGTTGAATTTAAAGTTAAAAAGTAATCTAAAACGGACAATAAATAAAAATTAGAAATTCTAGTAGAACCGAAAAAGATCTAAAAATTAAAAATATAACATTAAAGAAGCAAGACTTGGAGCTAAAGATAAAGGAAACGGCAAAATAGAACCTAAATGGCTAACATTAAAAGTCAATCTAGGACATTAATGCAATGTGTTAAATATTTTGTGATCGGATTTGAGGTTCATGTCAATGTGTTGACTATTTTGTTCGCTGGAGTTTGTCTTTATGTGCTTGCCCACTTTTAAAGATTACTTTGGCATTTAATTTGTATTGAAAAACATACATATTGTGCTGATCTTTGCTAACGAGCCATGATATCGCGAATAATATTTCTGACATTCGATATGATTTGCGTGTTAAGGAAAAACACCTTTATGTTACAAAAAGTTAAAGGTGGAAAGCCCATCGAAAAAAAGGCAGAAATCAATGTGGGCTAATGATAGAATAGTACATCTAGTAAAGCAAGACGAATTATTACGTCAAAAGTAATCAAAATGGATTGAAATTGAACGTCAATTATTAACTGCGGAGAAAGAATGAAAAGAAACTACAACAAACAAAATGAAAAGATGTGTTTCAAGATGTTAAAATCTTGCAGAAAATTAAATATCTACGGTAGTAAAGCAGTGAAAGATAAGAACGGGCTAATAATGAGAAACTACGGTAAATATTGCAGGGAAGAGGAATTAAAAAAGAAATACTGAAGAGTATAAAATGATATATGAAACTAATATTAATGCGGTAGTCTATAAAAGCTTAAAGTCACACGGATTTGTAACAAAGGAAGGTCTATTATTAGACAAGGTGAGGGTTTAATGGTGAAGAGTAAATTGCAGGCTGTGGAAATGAAATATCTAAGAAGCGTAAAGCGATTTACGAGGAATGATAAGATTACTAACGCTAGCTTAAGAAAAAACTAAATAGATTTTGACAGAAACATGATTAGAGATAGAGATATAAAGTTTTGTACATGGTCTTGTCAATCATATACGTGTGACAAAAAATTTTCTTTTTCCGGAAAATTTGGTGATAATTTGTTTTTTGTCAGAAAGCATTAACTTTTCTGAAACGAGAGCATCGCTGGTCAGTTTCAGCAAGTTGTCATTATCTGAATGACTGTTCTCATTCAAGATCTGCAATCACCGATGTTTCATAAAATCCTTCTTCTTCTCTGCCTTTTCCCTTATACTTTACGGCGTCAGGTTCTAGATCCATTTTGGTACTATCTTTTCTATTCAGTACCATCCTCTTTATTTCATCAGTGTCCCTTTGCTGAATTGCGTCTCAATGCTGCTCAGTCACTTCGTTCTGGGTGTCCCCTTTCCCCTCATCCCTTCTCCTCTTGCGTCCATCGTCCTCTTTGGGAGCCTCTTATCATCCATGTGGATCACGTGACCCTATGAAACACTGCAACTGTTTGTTTTGTATAATTTTCACAAAAGTATCTATCCCTAGTATGATAACTCCGTCGCAAAACAAAACCAATGAGGTTTTATACCTCAGCAAAGGGGATTTAAGGTCGCTATTTAAGGATGCGCCCCTAAAATAACACCTCTTCCATATTGGGCAAGCTGAGGATCAAACTTATCGAGGTTGCAACGATGAGTCAGAAACTGCTGAACATATACTGTGTGAATGCGTCGCCTAAAACACAACATTTTCTGTAAAATTTGCCTGATTCCTACCGGCATAAAGAAACATAATTACATAACAACAAGACCTTGGAGCCATACTAAGTTTCATCAAGAACCTACATTTGCCCTAAATCTTTGGAGGGCTTAATTTACAATAGATCCTATAGGTTGTGATGACTTGTAGTTGTATTTCTCACTCTATCCCTTCTGGTCAGGTTTCCGCCTCATATATCAATGTTAGGATATATACTGTTTTATGCAGATGCATCTTTTTTGTTCTACTTTCATGACCTGTATTATTTAATCATGGATCTGAAGTGGAACTTCCTGCAAGTATGATGAATCATCTTGTTCTTCTCCCATCCTTGTTCTTTGGCTTATAACAAGGTTGGTTTCATCATGGCTCCTTTTTGTTGCTTTAAGATATCTACTATGTGGTTATTGATTCTCCTCCATTGTTCTTATGCCTAAAGCATTTTGTATATTATTCAGAGATAATAATGAGTATTGCCAGTAGTGTAGGCCAGTATGAGTATTGTAGGACCATTGAACAAAGGCAAAAGAAGGCATCATCATCCTTAGTTTTTCTCATTTTTAACAAATATTTGTTAAAATAACAATACCTTGGCAGGAACTACATCACATAGAAACTGTCTTCTTCACTATACTAGCACTACTATATCTGGGATTACCCTCTCGATTCACCTTGCTTTTTCATCTTCTTTCCACCCTTGTTACCATTTATTAAATATGAGCTTCCTATCTTCGACTCAAGCATTGTTTAACTCTAGGTAGTCTTGTAGCTGCGTTGTATTCAACCTTTGATAACGTAAAAAACGGCTGGACTAGACACAGTTTGGTAAATGTTTGAAATTCATAACCTTTTTTCTCAGCGGAAAATTGCTTCCGACTATCTTGCTTTAAATTGGTACATAAGATGATATTATGAGGATAGAAGTCGCATTATGAGCAATTTTTGTATACATGCAATTAGTCTCAGCATAATAATATTTTTGTCGCCTTGATACAGAAAGTGTTCCCGAAAAGTAAACCTATTATTATCCAACAAATTGCAAAACCTTCGATGTTTTTACAGTTCTTTATTTTTTTGTATCTACAATTATAAAAGTCAATTATAGCGGCATATAATGCAGAATTAGCAGCATGATTTCTGTTTTGAAGATCGTAATATAAGATTTTTATAAAATATACAGTCAAAAACAAGCTAAAAAATAACAGATTATAGAAACAACCTAATTTATCAAATTAATTGGATTAGCTGATTGCAAGCTTATCGTATTATGCAGTTGTCTTTAATTGGCGTATCAAGCTTAATAATTCGAAATAGTTTAGTTAACGAAAGCATTGGAATAAGCTGCATTAGAAAGAGACGATATATAGATTTCTTTTAGTTAGACAAAGACATACTTTGAATAAGGGGTTTTTACCAGCAATCAATCCGGTCGAGGCAACTCTCAATTTGCCTCAGCCGCGACTAAGTGCACTAAGTGCGTATCCAAATCAAAGCCTCGTTGGACTATTTGCTATCTAATAGAATAATTTAAACATTGCTAATTCATTAAAAATTATGCATAATTAGTTGACATTGCAAAACTGTTATTATGACTTTAATAATAGTCTGTATATAAAATTTCTTAGTTATGAAATCATTTCCAAATATTTCAAATTTCTCATTTTTAAAGACGATAAATGTATAAATTTATCTATTTCAGTTTCAAAGAATTTCATTGATTCATAAAAATTTTATTGAAAGAATTCCAATGTTATTAATAAAAAATGCGCTGGTCATAACACGCGGACCTCCGTATTAAGCGCAATCACCATCTGCGGAGAGTCTCGCGTGGTCCGAGATTCCTTCGTTTTCCTTCTACGTCCTCGTCGTCGTTAGTGTATCACGGTCGTTCTCGCATAAGAAGGCCTCCGGGCAATCGGAGAAAGACGAGAGTGGAAGGTGCGCGGTTGGGGTTTTGTTTGGTTCTCGACGTTTCGACAGTTGGTTTCTGGTACTTGTTGCGTTTACCGCTTCTTTTTCGTAAAAGAATCCGTCAAAAAAAAAATTAAAGACATGTCAAAAGACGTTTTACCAGTTGACGCGTCAATTTTAGCGATTCCCGCGGCTCAAATTATCATTTCAACGGCTTTACAAGAACTTAGGAAAGCTTTAATTTTATTCAAGTAAGTTTAAATTTTTGGTTAAACGAAGAAATGTTCTGGAATGGGTTCTTTAATAATCGTACCGCGTATAAAATGACCGCCAAATCAAAGACTTTTATTGAAACAACGTGCGCAGAAAGTTTTCAATAACATTACGTGGGTTGAATTGTAAATCATATTGATGTCAATACAAAAGTTGAAAGAATATGGTAATTAGTAATTATCTAGTTATTTATGGTCGATAAGTTAAATTTGATTTAGTACTTTTTAATTTATTTTTAAATAAATTGAATTATCTATTGTATTCTTTTTTTAATTAATATTTTAATTTAGACAACACGTGAAATCGTAACACATTTTTTTCCTTCACACGATCTACTAATTTCGTGTAACCGTAATAAACCTCTGGTTATTCTAATGTTAATTGTTTCGTTGAATGACTTTTTTACACACGCTCTGTTACGAAAACTGTTTCCATTTGCACGTAGAGCACGTATTCCGTAGATTACAAAAAAAAATCAAGGACTGTTTTAAATTAAACCACAATAAAACGGTCTCGCACGAATTCTGTACTTTTTTTTATTGTTAAAACAAAAATAAAACAATTTGAACTTAATTTTCCCGTTGTGTATTTTAATGTATTTACTTGAATTATGCGTGATGTTGTATAATCGTCCTGTGGTGTTCTGCGGTGGAGTCACGATGCATGAATAACATAACAAGCTTGTTATTGTAAAAATATGGATTTATGTAACCGAATGGTTTGTATGGTTCTTTTATAGACTTGGAGGCGAGAAATACGATTTGGTTTCTAAATTAAGTTGTTCCATTTATATTGACGCAATTCATTTATGACTAGAAAAAGATATATATGCTACTTTTTTTTACAGGTGGTTCCATGGTCATCTTTCTGGAAAAGACGCCGAAAAACTCATTTTGGATAAAGGAAAAAATGGTAGTTTCTTAGTTAGAGAAAGTCAATCGAAGCCAGGCGATTTTGTTTTATCTGTTAGAACCGATGATAAAGTTACTCATGTTATCATAAGGTGTACAGCAGTAAGTTTCGATTTTTTTGTATTTTTATGTTAATTTGTATTTATATATATTTTTTTTGATTTAAGGATCAAAGATATGATGTCGGTGGTGGACAAAAATTCGATAGTTTAAGTGATTTAATAGAACATTATAGAAAAAATCCAATGGTGGAAACTTCCGGAACTGTTGTACATCTTAAACAACCTTTTAATGCAACCAGAATTAACGCAACCGGTATTCATAGTAGAGTGAAACAATTACAAGTAAGAATTTGCCTCCAATTCATCACCTCATTTCGAACTCATCACACTCTACCAGCAGATGGTGTAGACTTCCAGTTCTCTTTACACAGTCTACACCTCCTCTCCTCATCCTCTATTCAATTTCTAAGCATTTCCAGATGATTTTTTGAAATCCATAGGCTATAACCCAAAATCTCCTTAGAAATCCATAACTTAGTTATTAAGACTATATTTGCTATCATAAATGTCAAATGGCAGTTCTGATAGCAAACATAATCATTGGGAAGAAGAATCTTTTCATTGAAATTATAGGATTGCAAAACAATTCTTCCTGCGCACTTCTGTCTTTCTGTGGAAAGTCTATTACGCATTTTGGTTTTATTTAAATTTGTTTGTGAGAACACCATTTCAACAGTGGCACTCCATTATGGTAAAAAGAACAAGTTAAATATAAAATTGCACAATGTTTTACATAGTGCAGTACCATCACTTGTTTCCAATTCTGATATTTTTTGCCAAAAGTCTATCTAATCTGATAAATGGGGTAAATCCATATTCCTCAAATGTTGGCATTCTTGGTCAAAAACATTCAACTGATCTTGATGAATTAAATTTGGAAAATCATTAGTCGGGGTAGTAATGGAATCATGTTTTTTTGGAATCACCTCGGATTTGATTTACAGTTTGGGTAAAATCTTTTAAAAATTTGTGAGCAACCTTCTATTAAAAATTTTAAACATCTTTTACGAAAACGTAGTAATCTTTCTGGGCCTAATTCATATCTATTATTTTTGAAAGATTCATTAACAATGGCGCCTAAATACAGGGTGCGCCACGGGAAACGCATGTTTTTGAGATAGGAAACCGGAAGGGATCGAAAAGGCGAGCCGAGGCCGTCGGCGCCCTTCCCTGACCTTGCAGTTGTGCATGGTTATTTAATTTCAATCATGCCGCTGTGCAGCATCGCGTTTTCGTGTATGACAGTGTTGGGAGGAGCGACGAATTAGTCACGAAAGTTCAATTGCTCTTTCGTCCAAGGTTTAACGTTCCTCGCCATGGAGACATACCGAATGCCTTTCGTAGTGGAGACAGTTTAATAAAAAAAAAAAGCCACCTGGACCACGTCGTACAGCTCGAATTCTGGAGAAGTGAAACGTGTAAGGCAGGCTATGTTACGTAGTTCAGGGCGTTCAGCTCATCGGCAATCTGCAGCATTACGAATATCCGACACTTCACTACGGCGAATTCTCCATCAAGATTTACGTTTTCACCCCTATAAAATGGTAGTTCTGCGTCGCTTGAGGGCAACTATCCACAACGTGCAGCTTTTCTTGAAGCGATGCTTCAATTTTTGGAAGATGAGCCTCATGTGATTTTGATAATGAGCGACGAGGCCCATTTTCATCTTAATGGTGTTGTGAATCGTCGAAACTTCATAGGCGTCATAGGGCCCTACTTTTTTGAAGAAAATGGTCATCGTGTGACCGTGACAGCTGATCGTTACATGAATATGTTGAACAACTTCTTAAGAATTGAGCTGAGCGGGTGACGAATCAATCTGCGAAATATTTGGTTCCAACAGGATGGAGCTACGGTCCATACTGCCCGAGTGTCGATGGCTGCTGTTAGACAACTATTGCATTGACCCCCTCACTTTCCAGAGCTTTCAACGTGTGATTTTTTTCTTGTGGGAGTATCTAAAGTCTCGTGGATATGAAACTAAATCTAGTACACTAACCGAACTGTGACAAATGATGGAGCAAAACATAGGTCAGATCGATCATCAACTATTGGAAAGAGTAGAGGTTAACACACTAAATGTGGAGACGCTACCTGAAGCGTCTCCACATTTGTCAGCGTGAAAATGTACAGGGTGTCCAAATTTCGATGGGTTTGCAGGGTATCTCAGTTATTATGAAAGATATAAAGTTGAGCTACTTTTTTGTGAAACTTACAATGGCGCAAACCAAATTTTCATAGCCCTCTTCGTTTTTGATATACAGGGAGTGTTTCAAAATTTACGGTTTTCAGACACCTCCTGTATCTCGGCTATTGATGAACATATCAAATCATATGGTTGTACAAGAAAAAAAATCGAAAACATATACGTTTTTTGAAAGTATTAATTCAGCTAAGTACAAAGTAGGCGCCGAAATAACTTTAAATGTCAAAAAGATTACAGTTTCAACAATTATGAATAATTAATAATGTATTCTGTATCTTCCTCTCTATTAAAATGTGCAAAAAAAACATATGCATCCCATTTAAAATAACAATCTTGGTTGCCATAGCAACGAAACAAAGAACAATGTAAAGAAGCAAGTATAACCAAAAAATGCGCCATAATTAATAAAGAATTTTTTATTTGAAACATTTTTTTTTAAACCACAAATGGCGAAGTTATCGGCTATATTCCAGACATTTGACACATCATCTACCAAGTACTACAGAACGCACGATTTTATGGATTATACAAATTCTACTGTAAAAATATAGTTAATTTTCCCAATTTCTAAAAAATCCATAGATTTTCTCACAAACTTGAAAAAATCCTTCTTTGTAAGATGTTAAAAATCCTTAGATCTTGAAGGTAGAGTTGCCATCCTAGGGATGGCAACGCTGTAGTGTCTATTAGCCCTCTCTTCGTTACCACACTTAAATCTTTTTACCACCTCTTCATCTCCTCATTTCCCTCTGACATCAAGTACTTCGGTAAACCAATTTCCCCATATTTTGGATTATATCTAATCTCCCTTTTCTTGGTCCTTCTCTCTTGCATTCCCACATCCCAAGGATAGGGATGTGGGAATGTCCTCCAGTTGTCTAAAATCATCTCAATCCTTCCTGTTTTCACTTATTCAGCTCTTCCATTAACACGATGCCCATAACGAACCTTTCTTGTCTCAAACTCTCTGTGGCACTTCCCCAAGATTTTGCCATCCTTACTTTACCTATCTTCATTTCTTCTCTAACTATATACTCCGGCGTCTCGCTACCCAAACTCTATATCCACCTCAAGTACCTGGTCTGCACAACCCCAAACACCCCTTGCTCCTTCCATCCCCATATCTTCACCCCATATCTTCACCCCATACATCATAATGCTTTCTATCAAGCTGTCAAATATTACCCTTTTTCCCACATCTCTCCTAAATGTCCTTTCCCCCCAGACTTGTCCCATAACCTTATTCGTTTTCACTGCCATCATTCTAATATGTCTGCCTTCCTTGTTATTTTCTCTAAATCTGTACCCCAAGTATGCGTATTCAGTCTTCATTCTTACTTCATCATCTTTGATAATTACCAAGTAGTCGGCATACGCAAGTACTTGCACCTTCCTCCTTCCTATCACCTCCCCGCCATCTGTCCCTTGGAAGATTTATCTTCTATGTCTGCAATACACAAAGCAAACAGAGTGGGACTAAGCGGACATTCCTGCCTTACTGTTAGAAATAAAAGATCACTTATTACGCTTAATAAGTATGGGAATACAGTTTTCTTTGACTTTGAACTCACGCCAACGTCCTTATATGGAGTGGAGTACTCTGGAATAATAATACGCAGTCTTAAAATAATATAATAATAATCTGCGAGGAAGTATGTCCTACTCTCTCCACTACAATCCACTTGCAAAACGGTGCAAAGGTATTGATGGTCCATTATACTTTAGTTTCCCGCAGATAATTTTGCCTAGCCCATTGGTTGACGTGGATGACATAACTCGAGCATATAATGATGAGTCTGCTTCTGCTCTTGACTTGTTGAACTGTTTTAAAGTTATATACTTCATCAGGACGATCTGCCGGCTTTATTGCACCATATCAGTTTCTGTAATGTTGTAGTGGATCTGATGAGATTTGATTTGACAACGCGTATAAATGGCTAAATTTAAAACCACTCACAACAGATTTGTCAAGTGTTAGGGTCAACAAGGTTCAGTGTTCGGTCCCATTTTTTATTGTATTTTCACTTCTCATCTTTGCATGGTTCAATGCTAGAGTTCAAGTATGCTGATGACACAGATATATTGTATACATTCAATTTAGGATGGAAATTCGACTGAGCTCCATATCATCTACTCTGTTTTGGTATTTATTCCTATGGCAATGAACTTCTTTGGTCATCCTCTTGGAAAGTGGGTGTTCCTGGCAAGTATTTTTGTCTTTTTCCCAATACGACGTTCATTCAGACTTCCACATTGGTGACAATCTGCTTTGCCCTTCTTCAATCCCTCCAGTATTGCCTTCACCTCATCCTCTGTTATCTCATCTCCATTTGTATATAAGGAGTCATTAATAATATTTAAAAATTTTTATGAAATAGAAAGAAAATGGTCCAAACAGTTCCGGAAAAGCTGGATTTTGGGAAGAATTCGAATCATTACAACAACAAGAATTTAAACATTTACTATCAAGAAATGAAGGTGTAAAAATGGAAAATCGCAACAAAAACCGTTACAAAAACATACTCCCTTTCGACGAAACTCGGGTAAAATTAAAGAACGGAACTGGTTCGGATTATATAAACGCGAATTACATCCGGTGGAAATCTGATGATTCGAATGCAAACGCTGAAAATACCGATCCAAATGGAAAAGTTTACATTGCAACCCAAGGATGCCTTCCTGGTACCATAGCGGATTTTTGGCAAATGGTCTGGCAAGAAAACTGTCGGGTAATAGTCATGACAACCAAAGAAATTGAAAGGGGTAAAAATAAATGTGCTAAATATTGGCCGGATGTCGATACCAGCAAAGAATTTGGAAAAGCGAAAATCGATAATTTAGATGAATCTTCAACTGTGCATTATACTCGGAGAGAATTTCGCGTGACCATGGACGGTGAGGGGGAACCCCGAAAAGTTTTTCATTATCATTTTCAAGCATGGCCTGACCACGGAGTACCAGCGGATCCTGGATGCGTTTTAAATTTCCTTCATGAAGTGAATAAACAACAAGAAACAATGCGAAAAGAATTACCTAACGACACTCCACCAGGAGCTATCTTAGTACATTGTTCTGCAGGAATTGGACGTACCGGAACCTTCATTGTAATCGATATGATTTTGGATCAATTAGAAAAACATAATTTAGATTGTGAAATTGACATACAACGAACCGTTCAAATGGTTAGATCCCAGCGATCAGGACTTGTTCAAACTGAAGCTCAATATAAATTTGTTTATCTCGCTGTTCAACATCATATAGAAACATTTACTCAAAGAATGAACGCTGATAAAAAATCTTTACAACTTGGGAGGGAATATACAAATATAAGATATACAAGTGATATGAATAACATTAATTCTGGTGGTAGTGGAATGCCTTTACCACTACGATCGCCAGGTGTAACTTACGCTTCAATTCGAAATGAAAGTGCAAGAAAATCACCAAGACCTGTTATGGACTTACCAATAACAAGATCTGTTGTTGAAGAAACAACAAACGTTTATGAGAACATTCCTACTAGAGAACGAAGGCTGTCGTCTGGTGTTAATCCAACACCTTGTGCAACACCTTTACCACCACCAAGAAAGACATGACCCTCTTCCATTTATGCGAGATTTTAATGAAGAAAACGAATTACACGGCTTTTCGCTATTTTGTACCTACGTGTTGTTTCTATCTCTTATTTTTACCACTACGAGAAATAAAATAAAAAGAAAGAAAATTTTAACTAATCGTTATAAACATTGTGCAATCAAAATTTAATGTGTTCCGCCCCCCACCTTCGTAGAATATCTCAATAAAAAATATTGAAAAATATGGAACGAAAATAGGGCGAAAAAAAAATTAATTAAGCATTATTTTTATTGGCTGTGCTTTTTTATAAATATAAATGTATTTTCGTCATTGTACGCAAAATGTTAATATTTTTTTATTGTCTTACGTGACGTTTGAATATATCGAATATGTTTGATTTTATTGATTGTAATTTGTGTAATATAATTTTTTTTATTAGCACACGAGATTTTATTATGAAAATAGAATTATTATTATTATTATTGTGTATGTACACTTTTAATTTCTAAAAACTAATCGATAACTATAAAATAAATATGATATTGACCATTTTTTTATATTACATAAAATCGAAAGAAAAGTTGGATCCAAAGCGTTTTTTTTTTCATTTTATATTTATAGATAGTTGCTTAAAAAAAGGATTCTTAGCTTCTTGTTCTTAGAAAGAATAAAGGAATGAAAGAAAACGATTTAATGAAAAGGGCTTGTGCGACGTTAATATTGTTCTGAAACGAATGATAATCGTGAGATGTACATTTTTTCCATATTATTATTAAGTATAAAATATTAAAGAGATAGCGTTTGCTGAATTTTATTATTATATGAAAGAAATTTTATTCGAATGTACGTAAAATATTTTGACAAATATAGATAAATGTTAATCTAAAAGTATCTAGTTTTTGATCTAACCTAAATATAAAATGGTTGTATTGAGAAACACACACTGCGAAACGATTACTATTAGAATAGTTGACCAATACTATCACAAGAACGATCACCCAAGAATTCTTTTTGATTCTTTGATCATTGGGAGTAATCTATGAACTATATAAGGTAATCTGTGGTAGCCAAGTTATGAATTGGTTTTCAATGCGCTGAGTTGACAGCATTCCTGATATCTGAGAGTATCTAACAAATAAGCAATTCAATAAAGTTGCCCAATAAAGATTATAAATGGTATAAAGACTTTTCGAGTGTATATTCCTTTAGACAAGTATGTGGAAATCTAGGTGCTTCTTTTATACTTCTACCAAGGCAACCACAAATACTGTTATTTCAATTTCCTTCAATAACCCTACACCACAACCTTCTTCTGTAACCGACACTCGTTAGTTTCTCTGAGAATATAAAAACCCATGTTACTTATAATGTGCTACTTAATTACTAGAAAGAAAGTGAAATTTTTAATAAATACTTTTTTTATAGGTAGTACTACAGTCGAAAATTGTTAATAAACATGGGTCCGCAAATCAACCCTTTTCGAGATACAGGATGTTCAAAATTTGTGGGACTCTACCTTTTTTTCTTCTAAACTATAACTACTACCGATTCGATATTTGGCAAATCGATACAGTATGAAACTGTCTCTTTTTGAGAGTAGTATGATGTTTTCATTTCTTCCAGTTAGACCGGAAGTGAAAATAAATACCACTATTTCTCAAAAAATTCAAAAATTTTATTTAACAATTGGATAGATAGTTTAATTCTAAACAACATAAACTCGAAAAAAAAAATTTGTATTCCTTAAGGTTCCTGAAAAAAAAAAACATTTTTTTAAATACACTGTTGGAAATAACTCACGGGCACACCCTATATAATCTGAACGCGTGAAGATAAATCCATAATATTTGCGGAGCACAAAGGTTTACTGTAGACGAGTTTATTCATGGAGTTTCGAGTTGTTCCGTCGAGGCATTGTTGACTGAGCCGCCCTTCCAACTGGAACATTCCGTCGCTATGGAGACCGAAGTGGATGGAAAATACCGGTCGTTTTTAGTGTGGTGTGAGGGACCACATTGTTATCGTACGTGTGCGCACTGGATGAGCGATCGCGTTACTTAAGCGAGTTTGAGCGAGGAATGTTTGTGGGTATGCACATTGAGGGTGTATCGTTCTGTGAAATTCGTCTCGAGCGGTCGTTATCGGCAGTGCAACGGGCATGATGAGAATGGTCTGAGGTAGGTACCTTCAGCCGCAGTCAGGACGGCCCTGCGCGTCCCCAGCACACGAGGATTGAACTCTTGTACTCGGCGCTTTAGCCTCGTGTGTGTCCTCCTCAAGGCAACTTGGAGCTGTTTGGCCACCGGCACGGCAGGGGAAGGCTGACTCACTACGCGAAGTGTACGGCAGCGTTTGGTAGATAGTGGACTGCGCGCGCGTCGTGCGATACAGCGGATTCCAGTAACACCCGAGCACCGCAGCATACGTCACGAGTGGGTCGACGCTAGGCATTAGTAGGTTGCCAAGTAGAGGGACATTTTGTTTTCCGACGAATCAAGATTCAAATTGAGCACCGGTGATGCGCGAATTTTAGTTCGTCGGTGATCGTCTACTCGAGCAGTGTGTGCAAGAACGCCCTATCCACCGACAACCGAGCATTATGGTATGGGGTGCGATTACATATGGTGGACGTATACGTCAGCTGCGTGTATAGCAGACCATGACGGGTCAACGATACGTAGATGAGGTGCTACGGTCTGTTGTGCTTCCCTACGTTCGGCGGCTCGCTATTGATGTTTCTCCTCACAGCAGAGTTGTGCCGCTCTCCATGTGAAAGTAAGTTACACTACTTTAGTACTACTTCCATACCAAATTTTATTGCGCTAGACACACGCGTTCAGATTATACAGGGTGTGCTCGTGAATTATTTCCAACAGTGTAAATTATTAGAAAAGTTGAATTTACACAATGCAATACTAATACTTTCGCTTTTTATAAGTTTTACAAAACTTACAAGTTTATAAGCATCATCAAAACGAAGCTTTTTACTAAAGATGTTCAAAATGTCGGCCTGCAACATTAATACAGTTTCTAATACGTTTAAAGGAAGCCCGAACTCTTTCAAATAACCCGTAGTTTTCACGAATTGTCTGGCAACCCTGTTCTATTCGTTGCCGCAAGTCTTCAAGATTGGTTTTTGTAATTCGCGACGGTAATGAAAGCTCTAACAGTACTCAAACGGGTGCTGTAATGAGACTCCTTACAGCATCCGATGCTGTAATGAGATTTTAGTAACATTTTATAGAACCAGTTCAAGTTGGTCACATTGGGTCATTAATTTTTCTAGTTGTCAATGTGACAATTTTTGTCTATGGATGTTTAAACACGTTCTTAGCATCGAATACAAGGTCCATAATGATGAGGACATTGAACACTGGCAATTTCTCTTATTTTGGGAAGTGTACATGAAAATTTTTTTCAGGTGAATATATTTTGTGTTTTGACAGTTTCTAATTGTCAATTCAAATTTCTATTTTCAAGTGTTACGGTGTTACCAACTGTTGCATACCTATTTCCCTACATTGTCAAAATTTATTTTATTTTTGTTAAAAAAAAAGGATAAAAACGCGAATTACAAAAAATAGCATAAAAAACACGTTTCATAAGACTTAAAGCACTCATTTATTAAAAAAACTTTCGTATTCTAAACGTTTTTCAACTTAAATTCGTGCATTTCAAACGTTACAATCGTCTTACGAAACTCTCAAAGTATTTCCATCGGCACGGCCGTACATAAACACAGAATCCAGAATTGACAATGGAAATATAAAGAACTTTTGTACTTTTGTATTTTTGTATATCTCAAATAAATGTATAGTATTTTCGGGAGACCACTGGAACGACATATTTTCAGCTTTCAACAGATGTTTATACTGTAAAAGTCGCTACAAGTTTCGGAAACAAATTACATGTCCACACTACGTCGGAAACAAAAATGTTTACAATGTTTCTGTTTGTAGGAATATTTGTTTTTGCAACCATAAACAAGAAGGAACATCCAGAGACTTTGAGATACAAGTTATAGGAATAAGCAACATAAACACAATGTTCCTTTCGGTGCGGACTTAGCTTTAGTTGTACAAGATTAACCAATTTCTGTGGGATATCCAGCAGCAACAGGTTCTGAAAGAGCTTTCGCCTGTCGATCATATCAAAAGCCTGTTTGAAATCGATGAACAGACAGTTCATATCAAAAATTATAATCGTAATTCTTCTCCAAAATCTGCTTCAAAGTCTGTATATGGTCTGTTGTAGATCGGTTGGTCCGAAATCCACATTGGTGGTCCTCCGCATACTGATTCTATTATAGATAAAGCATGAAAATATCTTATACGTCACGTTAAGCAGTGTATTCCTCTGTAATTACGGCAATCCCGCTTGTCGCCCTTTTTATGGATAGGCCCTGGTTCCATTCTTCAGGCAATTCTTCTAAGATCAATATTAAACATATAAGCTCGTATATACGGTTCCATAGAGTTTGTCCACCGTATTTTATGCCTTATAGTTTTTTAATGATTTTATTATATCTCTAATTTCATCAAAGGAAGGTTGGTGGGAGGTTTTAACTTTGGTTCGGCCGACACGTAGTTAAACTCTTCAGTCTCCGTATTATTTTCCTGATTTAGCAATTCCTGAAAGTATTCTCTCCATCTGCTAAGAATATCATCTTCTTCATGTAGTAGATTTCCTTCTTTATCCTTGCATATGGATTCACGTGGCCTGTACTCCTTTGCTTGTTTTTTTGACATCCCTGTAAAATTTTCTGTAATATCTCTTGATATTACTTTCTTCTATCTCGCTTGGTTCTCTATTATAATATTCTCTCTTTGCCCTTTTGCACATTTTTTGTTGCTATTCTTCTTCTGATGCTATATTGCATCCAGTTACCTCTTGTATTCCTTTCTCGACCATCTGCACTCTTCATTGAATCATTGAATTATGTCGTTCTCCAACTTCCTTTATCTGTTCTGCCTCCTTCAATATATTCTGCTTTATAGACTTACGTCTCCACCAGTATCAGTATCACCCTTCTCCAGTTCTGTTTTTATTGTTTCCTGGAACCTCTTCTTATTGTCCTCATCTACGGACATTCCAGTTCGTGGGGTTATGCCCATTTTTCTTTTACGCATTACTTATTCTTTGTCTTAAGGTGCAAAGTACCAGGAAATGATCTGAGTCGCAGTTTATTCCTCTATACAGTCGTACATCCTTGACAGTTGTTGCCTATCTTTTAGAAATACGCACGTGGTCTATCTGATTACACTGTTGATTACCTCTGTGTATCTTTTTGTGTGGGAACTATATGCTACTAATTACCATATCATGCGCCTCAGCCAGATGGTATAGTCTTGTTATTATGTGAAGGTTATGTTGTCCTTCGATGCCCCTATAATAATCCTCTTTGCCAATGTTATTAATTATTAAAGCGAATTTTCCCCTAAGCCGGATTTTATACATTCGATCATTTATAGCCTATAGTATTAGTGCTTGTCTAGCTCTCCTGTTAAGTATAAATCCCGTACCATACAATACTGCTGTAACCACAGATTACTCTGTGGCTGTAATATAACGAATACAGCTGTTTTCTGATTTCTCCTTCCCATCTAATTTCCTGCAAGGCTGTGATGTCCATTCGAAACAAGTCTAACTTTTCGGAATGGAATGGATAAATAACAATGAATAGCAAATTAAATAAGCAAATTAAAAAAAAATAAAACTCCTGATTTTGACATATCACATGGACTTTGAGAGAAACGAGAAAAATTGTTTTCTATTTCTTTATTATGATAATTTATATATAAAAATCGATCCAAAAAGTCAATAATCAAAGATTTTTAACAATAAATTGATGTTTAATAAATGATCAATTCAGAAAATAAGAAAGTCTAAATTTCCAGATTTTAACATAAACTAAGCTCAAAACGCAAAGAAAAATACTTATTTCAGTTTTTCCTTCTCATTTTATTTAATATTTTCATTAACAAACATTACCTATTAAAATAAATACATCTGAAAATAAATAAGTAGATATCTAAAGAAAAATAAAAAAATATCCTTAAATTAACCTAATAAATAATGTCCTAATTAAGATACAATAATATCGTATTAACATTTCTTAAAATTTCAAAACTTCATATAAAAACGTTTTTAAAAGGCCTCTTCGTTTCTCCAAATACCCTTTTTTCATCTCAAAAACACTTCTTGGTCTTAGAACTTTAAAATCTACTACATAACCTAATCATGGTCCGTCAAAATTGTCAAAAATTCCTAATACTTTCCCAAAGTGAGGTTATGTTTCCGATTTCGCATCGTCGTCGGACATGCAATATAATTGTCGTTCTTCGCTGGCTCTTCGCTCGTTTTCTTTAACGGCTAACATAGCGGTATCGATTTTTTGATGGAAATCTCCACGAATTTCTTGGATTGGTTTCAAAAGAATGATGGGAACGTGATCATCTCTACGCTAAAAATTGTAACGAAAAAAAAAATTGAATTATGTCGGTAAATTAGGTGTTTTTAATAAAAATTATAAAAACAAGTGAATATTAAAAAAACGAGCCTTACGATTCTTGAATTTAATTGTGATATTTTTTGAAGAAAAACGAATTATTTTTAATAGTGATTACCTGGAAAAGACATTCTCCTTCGAAATCCAACAATTTGTGTTTTCTGGCCCTGAGGAGCATCCCGACCAATTTATCAGAGATAATCGTGTACATCTGTAAGTATAAACAAATAGACGTTATTATTTTAATTTATTTTTGACAACACTTATTTATTTATTCATTTTTTATTAACGCACCGTAAATAAATCCCCAAAACTAATAACTTTCCTTGGATCATTATCTTTTTCGCCCGGTTTGAATAGTGGTTCACCATAATGATCGATCAATTCGCAAAGTTCAAGCATTTCCTTACAAACTTGCGCGGTAGCTTTAAATCCTCTCGTTTCCGATAAAGATCCTTTTAAAGGGCGTCCGTACTCGTCCTTGGAAAACTGCGGCTTATTCATTCCATGAACGGTCTCGTTTGAAAATGGATTGACCGATTGTTTATCTTTGTGGTCTTTGGCTTGAGCGTCGAATAAAGCTATTTTTGAGCTCAAAGGCGTCGTCTGAGGGTCATCCATGGATCGAATTGAAACAAAGAAAATTTATTGTTAGTTTTAAACCTGACAACAAGCTTCTCGTACTGAGTCGTGCTATATTTAGATTTTTTTTTCCAGAGATGCTCGCCCGAGAACATTTTGAGTGGTTGCCAAACTTTTGAACGTCACAAATTTTTGCGTGTATGTGTGTGTGTTTAAATTGGCGACTGCTGATTTTTCCACTGTTTGCTTTTAACATTTTTTAATGACCGGTTGGTTAGGAATTTTTGGACAAAAATCATTAGTCGCGATACAAAAATACCAACAATTGACGCAAATCGTTGTTTATCATATTATTATTAAAACGTGTGAAATCATAGAGCTTAAAAAAAAAAGCAAAAATGATTTAAACGCGTTTTCGTGGTATTAAACTGTTTTATCTTGTTATAGAGGATTTAAGGCGGTGTTGAAACCTTAAAAGTTATACAATTTTAGTTGACCCAATTGAAGGACTTTTATTTTTCAATCATTGTAAAACATAGCAATGATAAATGCCTTTCTCAAAATATAAGTCTCTTATTAGTTTATTGTAAACAGCTTTGTGTGCATCTTCGAAAGAAACTTTGATATATATCGGCAAAACAAGTATATGTCCTGTACATATATATAAGACATGTTGTGACATATAAGAGCAGAAAATGCTACTACAAAAATAATCTCCAGAACAGTGGGGATGAAGACGCTAATCATTAACAAGATATACCATAAAGAAATTGAACATATCAGAGAGATATGGGATATCCAAGACATTGTGACTCAAGACTACCATGGATAGTATAAGATGGACTACCAAGAGTAAATACATTCCTTGGAAGACCTCCTATATGATGGTATGAAAGCTGGAGTTTAACAGGTTGACTAGCACATGTACCGTTTCTGATAAACATAAGTTGGTTTATGAAAGCCACTGTTTTGTTTTAAGTATTGTCCTTGAGGACATGAGGTATATTTAGATAGCACGCTTTTATGGTGCTAGAAATCTGTTTTTAGGTGCTTTTTATTAATGAATATGAAAATCATTTTTTACTTTGTTGTTATACATTTTGTATAGTCTTGTATATTTACAGTAGAAAGTGGCACAATGCCTAGCAACAACAGACACGGTCACTCAAAGAGGTGGAGACGTAACTAGCAATAATCGAATATAATAATGGTAAATCATTTATTGATGACGCAGACCAAATGACCTCATACAACACTATAGTATAGGAAGGTACCGTTTGTTGGACACACAATGTACTACAAAACTTCATAAACGTGAAAAGAAAAAAGACTACGTTGTACTCAATGTTATAAAGGTGTTGCAACCAAATACGAAATAAACGTAGCTTAACAATATTCACCTCGAGTTTGGACCAAATGCACAATCTGCCAAAAATGCATATACAATGTAATATATAATAAAAGAATTGAAGATATCAGAGAGATTTGGGATATCCAGGACATTGTGACTCAAGATTACCATGGATAGTCAAAGATGGACTACCAAGAGCAAATACATCCCTGGAAGACCTCCTCGATGGTATGAAAGCTGGAGCTTAACTTCCCAACATAGGCTATGAGTAATTAAGAAACAAGGCAGATGTCTTGAAGTAAGAAGGAGATACAAGATTGTCAAAAAAATCACGTGGACATCGCACTATCACATCATGATAGTGAGTGATATTCGCATCTATTTGACCAAAATATGTCGATTGAACATAACTTGTTATCCAGCTGTGTTACCTGCAGTGTGTGCCAAAAGAGCAAACCTGGATATTCTATTGAGAACATTTCAAGGTAAATGCAACAATATAGAGATTTTTATAACTTAATTATAATTAATTTTGGAACAGCGGTCAAGATAATTATACATTTATGCGGAGCAACCTCAACCTAACTTAATCCAATTAGCAAAGTAATGAGTAATGAGGGAAACTATATTCTGTTTCAAAAGAAACAATCTTTTCTTAATGCTAGTATTCCGTAACCAAAATTAAATTCAAAAGATCAATTTCCAAGAACTTGAAAATATGGATTCAAAGAAACTATTTTAGTTCTTAAATGATTAAACGGTGATTCAGGTACTGAGGTCAGCATTCCTATTTCTTTTTTAGGTGCTGTCTACGATTCGGAGGTTAGCAACTTTTGAGACCACGGATCTGAATAGTTCGTTGCTGGTGCTGCCAAACCACTCCCGAAGGTTCTTCAGCCAGGAGTTAAACCTTCTTCTTATGGAGCTCTTTCCCAGAATTTTTCCCTGCATAATTATTTGCAAAAGTTGGTACTTTTCCCTTCGTATGACATGGTCCATATAAAATAACTTCCTTTGTTTGATCGTCAGTACTATCTCTCAATCCTTCTGGAAGCGTCTCATCACCTCCACTTGGTCACTTTCTCTATTCACGAAACCTTTAGCATTTGTCCATGCCACCAGTCTTCTCACATCAATCCTTGTCGAACCTCTCTTTGAATTTCTATTTCATCAAATGTTAAATACGTGTATTTCTGCCTTTTGCCCATAATATACATAGTTTAGAGATTATTATTTATGTCTCTGAGATCAATTCTTTTCTTTAACAAAGTTTCTTTGCGTAGGTGGTGTTTAACTTTATCAAAATCCTCATTGTAGTCTACAAAACACACTAACTTCAGCTTCTATTAGCAGACTACAAAAACTAAAAAAACCTTTATGTTGAAACATTTATGAGTGGATGATTTCGGCAGTAACGGTTTACTAAACGATTCCGATTTTGTTATTGAAGAAGATAACTTTGTCAATTGTCACAAAATCAGTAGGAAGAATGCTTATACCACTTATTTTTGCAGTATTTGAATTTTTGGAGGGCGCTTGTCCTAACAAATAGATAAAATAGAGAAGCAGAGAAGAATTTTAACACTGCATCATAACATTCGATGGGCATCATAACATAGGTACCATACATACTTGTCTATTATCATAAACAAGTCAATAGTGTAATAAGATAAGTGAGCAAAGAGGGAAAAAGACTTACATGTTCTAAAGAAGCATGGCTATACAGTTTTGGGTTGGGTTGGATTAGGTTGATTGAGGTTGGGTTGGGAGAAGGCATGAGTCCACTTATTGAACAGCTCCAGTCATGCTGCGACATTTCATAGAAATTAAGGTGGTGGTGTCTGTTTTGGCATATTTTTACTACATCTTCATTGCTTTCTAAATATCCAGATCCTAAACTCTTTGGATTCAATATTATAAGATTTTCCAGAAAAAAGTTTATAACAAATAAGGATTTGAAAAATGAAGCCACCTTTTATAGGCACAAGTAATGTAACCACATAAAATAGAAAGATGAGTCAATAGTGTAACAAATAATTAAAGAGTGAAAAATACTTGCATGTCCAAAAAAATTTATGTATATCTTGAATTGGGTTGGGGTGGCTTGATTTAGCTTGGGAGGAGTGAATACAAGGCAGGAGTCGAGTTATTGAGCAGCTTCAGTCATGTTATGGCATTTCATGGAAATCAAGGAGATGGTTCTCTTCTAGAATTTCACCAGTATCATTGCTTATTATTGGCAAAAAGAAACTGAAAGAAATAACACTTACGCTTACGCTGGCAAACTATTATGAACTTCTTAAACATCTGTTCCTACACCGCCATGATTTCCGTCGACCTCGAAATACCTTACAATACGGTTTGGGTTTAGAGCAGAGTGACAATCACGTAAACTTAACTTGTAGTAAGTACTCTACCTTCTTCTTGTTTTGAATAATACACTTGCATATGGGCCAAACGATGAATTAGCATTAGGTAATTGTATACAGCTACTTCATAGGTATCAAAATGTGTTCCAAATTATAATGTCTAACTATAAAACAATCTTACTAAAAATTCACTAAAACGTAAATTGAATTCATTTGAAAAATTATCTATTTACTGTACCTCAAGCTTGGTGTAGTATACTTGAGAGAGATGAAAATCAATCGTCATGAAAGATGTGTCCATCACAATAAAGTGTAAGCGAAATAAAGTTTAGAAGTTGAGCAGAAACTAAATCGGAAAGCAGGCTACTGCAAGACTTTGAACAATAGTTTGTAGAAGAGCTGGAAGACGAAATAGACGAAGCAATGAAACGATGAGTTCTGAATCACACGAAAAATTGATAAATTTTTAATTGTCTACAATTGATTAATGAAAATATTTTAAGACTAAGCTATTGGATTTATGTTACAACATAAAAGACAAACCATGTTGAAAACATTTAAGAATATGTTTAAAAATGTTATTGAATTTTTGCTTCAGTTTATGCAATTAAAACATCACCATAAATATAGAATTCACCTCTTTGTATATGCAAGAAAGTTGAAGTAAAATGAAAAGTGTAATAAAACAGAAATATGTTTTTTTTTTAGAAAGGTAGAATTTTTTTGCAAAACATCATAAATACATCATCTCAAAAAAGAAGTCATTGATCGTCACTTTAAAAACGTTTATCTTACATGTTTCGGAGCGGCATGGCCCCATAAATCGCGTAGTTTGTTTTTTCTCAGCTCGGGTTTTGAATGAACGTGCCTTTTGCCAAACGGCTGCGACGATTGAGGAATCCTGGCAATTCAGGATCATCCTTGTTCTCGCCACACACGTGAAAGCACCGCTGGCACTAAAGCAGGAATTTTAATAAGCCACTCTCCAGATCCGATCGATCGAAACATTTTTTTTTTACTTTACCATCTTCCAAAAATAACCGCCCTCCCTGTAGGTATACACTTTACGACTGTAGGATATTTCTATCGCGTTATTTTCGTTAGATAATTATAGGAGCTAGGTATTTTCGGTATTGATATATGGCTTGCGTAATTTTCTAAGTGTGTATCCGGACTGAGTAGTTTTAAACTTTTCGGAACTTGAATAAATATACACATTTAGATCTGAATTGACGCAAAAGTTAACAGCGGCCAATAACAACAATAATAACTTTGCATTTTTCAAACAAAAAAAAAATACATTACGCAAGGATACATCGCAGGAACTTGAAAGCTTGGCATACAATCATTTTGATTTTTTTCAGAAAAATTAGCTTTTGTTCCAAAAACATTAAATATTATTTACGATAAACGAACCGGTTAAAATTAACTGCACTTGAACTGAAGCTAATTCTTAAATTAGAAAATTATTTTCATAATAGATTTTTAACAGGTGTTTGAAAACTATGATAAAATTACGATATGTTGCGATTACCTGCTGCATTGAATGAGATTTGATGAGATAGAAACCAGTAAGTAAGAAAGAAAAGGGAAAAACCACATCACTGATTTTACCGTACCTAAATAACTTTAGCAAGATTTGCAAGAAAATCTTGTTTTATGTTTAGGATTTCTCCTGTTATTCATTGGATGATGATTGCCCCCCATCTCTTCCTGCTGTTTGCATATTTTGGCTATTCGGTCTTCTCCCATTCTGTTCACATTTTGTCTCTATTGATGCTGCTTTTGGCCCACCTGTCAATATCCTTGTAGAAAGTCCTAGAACAATATGAAGGACTTCATCTACCGTTCTTAGTTTCTACTTCATTCTCTATATTTCTACTCTGGTCTCTGTAGGTCAGCACTGACCGAATTATTCCTTGTATATTTTGACTTTACTCTCTACTTGCCAGTATTTGTTTCTCCAAGCTGCTCGTCTGAGACACCCTGCGATCTTTAATTCTTTTGTCGCACTTGAAATTTCGAAGGGTTTGTCTTCCATTTTCAGCCTACATCTTCGAAGCTTCCTAAACGTCACAAATGTTTTGGCTTTTTCTATAGAAATCCTCACATTGTGTTTTTTGATGTTTCGCAAAATTTATGGGGGAGCCATTGCAAATCATCTTCGTTCTTTGCTATAAATAGTACATCGTCTGCATAGCAGATTATGTTATATTTATCACATCGTTCCCATTTTGTACCCGTCCAGAGGTTTAACCTCTTCTAGTATCTTTTCCATAATTAGATTGAAGAGGAAGGGGCTCCTGGCAATTCGGTTTCTTCAGAGGCATCGTTATGTACTTTAATCTTTGATTTGTTGTCCGTGTTTATTTTCTCAAATAGCAGTATCATATAGTAAGGTACTTTTTGGACTTTAGTATGTTTTTGAGTTCGACTCTATAAAAAGTTTTTTTTTTAGGTTTTGGATGGGTTGTTAGTTTTAGATTTTTCTATGATCTGTCGTAGTATGAGTTAGAGCTTTTGGTGGAGTTGATAGCTTCAGCATAAGGTTATGTCTCTATAGTTTTCTGACTTCTTCTTGTCTTCCTTTTTGAACTTTAGGATTATAATATGGTAGATTATAATATCTACCACTCTTATGGTATCATACATGTGGACAATACTTTCTTAAAGAGTTTTTCTATTTGTCTCGTACAGTTTAGCCTCCGTATCATCAGGGTTTTCATATCTTCTCTCTGAATATAGTATCCTGATATATTTGGCACCATGATATATTTTTGCTCTTGCGTCTGTATAGATGTCTACATCTCTTCATATAGTCTGCAAATTATTCTTTCCATGCTCTTAATATGAACATATTCAGCCACATCTCTTTTTTGATTTTGAATTATATTCCCAACTTTCTTCTGCACCTCATACAAATCCGATTCCATGTTTTTTATGAACATTTACCAGTGTTTTTCTTAAATTTTGATGAGTTTTATTTGATTATTGTCGTAGATGAACAATCTTATTTTTGCTGAGGTTATGCAAATACTCTCAAGCTATTGTGTAAAAATGTACGGGTAAAATAACCATCAGACTATTTAGGTCTAAAAGAAACATAACATTCTTAACTACGGATTACGATTTAACAAAGGAATTAATATAGAAGAATACAACTGTTATTGAAAGTTTGAGAAAAATAGGCCATTCTTTTTCAAGTCGAACACGAGAAGTGGTAGACTTCACTTCTCACAAAGTACCTAAATATTTAGCAAATCCTAATTTATCTAAAATTGAACTAGTTTCATTTTTGCATATAAGGGCTCACACTATAGCATCGTGAGTACAAATCCAATATAATATTTTGTTAGATATCAAGACAAATATAAAATTTAGGCATAAAGTTGGGGTATCAATGCCGACACCTATTCGCCCTACTATACATCCTGATATACAAATTTATTCTCCTTCAGATACATTGGAGAATATTTTAGTGACGGGACCATTATCACATGGTGATAGTGATGATGACAGCGGTGATTGTTGTGTTAGGCAACAAAATACTTAACATTCAATTTTAATTAAACATTTTACAAAGACTTGGACTAAGATTTGAAAAGATCCTCCTTGTATTCTTCAATATAACATAACTAGAAAATTGAAGAATCTTCATTTTATGCAAAAGATTCTTTCAAAAAGAATATAATAATTTAGGATTGGTTTTAAAAAGCTGTTGCTCGGTATAAAGGTCCCAAGATAGCTGTGACAGAAAACAACATTACATTAAAAAAGGATAGACATTATTCTTGCACGTAAGAAAATTGGCAAAAAACTGTAGTAGATAATAAAAAAAAGAAGAAATATAGTCATAAATGACAGAAAAAGCACGGCTTGAAAGGAAGCAATTCATTGTGGCAATTGTTCAATTATGAAATAGAAAAATAGAACAAGAATATCGATTAAATGCTTCTTGAATGTTCAAAAGGGATAACTCATAATATTACAACGAGGGAAGTACCAAAATAATATTGATGGAATGAGAAAATTTTGATGAAAATGACTCCTTCACTTTTGCACTAGTTTTGTGTATTAACTTTGTATATTTCTTAAAGTAAAACTAGAACTAACACTAGCACTATCACTAGAACTAACACCAGCACTATCACTAGAACGTCAAATACTTTATCAAAAGACTTTTAACTCAAAAGTTTCTAGTTCTGGGTCCAGTGTTAGTTCTAGTGAGAGTGCTGGTGTTGATGCTAGTTTTAGTTTAATTAACACCGGCCATGAAAGCCTTTGTACTTATTTGTATATTTCTCCTATTTCATTAATTATAAATTTATTAAATCTAACTAATTTTGGTGTCTAATATCTACCACCAAAATAGACTTGTTTAGACATTTTTGCAAAATAATGTTTATCAGTGTTTTATTGAGTTTATTCCATAATTTTGCCACACACTGTATAGACATGTATCGTAACAGCAGTTACGGTGTAAAACATTTGCTTATTTCAACACATTATATTATGTCACCTTTTTTCTATGTTGCTACAGTTTATTTAAATTGAAATTATATTGAAACAGGTAAGTGTTGATTAGTAACACTTACCGGACTTAAATTAATGATGTAAACATCAATATACCGCACAGTATGAAATAAAATTATGGAAGTAATTCCATAAATTCGATCGACATTTTAAGCTTACGCAATTTTTTCAAGATAAATTAAGTACCAATTTAGCATTTTAATCATTTTCGCGTTTTATATTTTATCAAGAATTTGTCTTATTAAACATAAATTTAACAAAATAATTTTTGTCCTTAATTCCTTTAAAAATTACTTTTTTTTCTCTATTTCAATTCTGTCTAAACTGATTATGAATGAAATAAAAAAACCTTATTCAAGTTTATTTTAACTAAAAACTACTATAAATTAAAATTATGACTCACCAAATAAACTCTGGGTCTCTCAACGCAAGACATTTTCTTGATGCAACTTCTTCACTCAATCACAAAAAAAAATGAATAAAAACAAGAAAAAGTAACCGATAACTTGAAATTTTCGAACAAAAGTAGCGTGTTACTAGAAAGTTTCGATGAGAGTTTTTCCTCTTCTTCTCGTCGAAGCGAAAACTTTCCAGCGACTATTAAACCGATACCGACGGCGTCGCGTTTTTAAATAGTTTACTGACCGACGACACGGACGCTTAGTGACGCCGTCGCGACGGCCGAAATGACGTCACCTGAAACCGCGATTCTGGCATTATTCAGCGTTCAGAAATCTCAAAGGCATCCGGCCCAAGGGAATTCCAAACGGGCGTCGCGACGCTTCAATCCATATAAAGCAAGAACAGAATCACAGAAAATATTTTAAAGGGGTATTTTGTAACAGCATCGATAGATGGCGGTGTTTTTGAACATTTTTTTTCACGGGGTATAAAATTGTGTTTATGAATGAATGAAAATTCTTGCGTAGAGGATGTTCTAAGAATTTTGCGATTGGAGTAATTTTTTTTAGAAAATGAAAATAAACAGATTTAATATCCGCTGGCAGATGTTTTCTTAGAGGTTGTGTATTTTTGGATTATTTTTGGATATTATGGTGGAACTTTCAAGGATATCCTTAGAATGTGTTTCGTAGGTAATAACTTTTTTTTTAATCGTAAAAAACAAGGTTACCGGAAACACTTTTATGAAAACCTTTTTTGAAGAAATTTAAAAAAAAAGCTAATTTTTGAGTCTTCCAACTTGTTTTATTATAAAGTATAAAGTTTTTGGAACAGAAAGTTATTTGGAAATCAAAAGAGAATTTTTTATTATTATCTATGCAGTAATACTAGTTGAAAACTCCAAGCCACCAAAACTTTTTTGTCTTTCCTTTTTACTCGATTATATACAGAATGAATAAAAAGTCTAGAACACCTGAAATATCTTCAAAACGACAAATTTATTAAGATTTCCTCTAAGATACTCAAAAAATGTGTTCTTTCAAATTGTCAAACAAAAAATTGGGGTTGCCATTTAAAAAAATGTTGCCCCCTTTGACTCCAAAAATGTACGCCACTGTAAAAAAAATTTAGACATAGGAAAAAACCTCAAATTTATTATAGTCTTTGACACCTGAAAGGATTCTTTCAAAAAGAACTCGTTTTGAAGATATTTCAGGTGTTCCAGACTTTTTATTTACCTGTATATTTAGGTATTTTGACATTAGTTTCACATTATTTAGACATTTATTGTTATTATTATTATTGCTGCCGGGCTGAGGATTTAGACATTTAGTTTGCTTTCTGCACATTTCAACGGTGAAAGCTAAAAAGTGATGATTACGAAATGAGTAGCAGAAAACCTTTCAATTGTCATACTCTGAAACATCAAAGAGAGAGTATAACCAGTGTAGCCGAGAACTTAAAAATGGCCGAAGATGCCTACAACATCAACATTGATGCAGCTTTTGGATACTATTTTATTGATTTTGTTTCTGTTTTTACTGCACTTTCTAACTTTGTTGTTTGCAAAAAATGTGGGGTCAAAAATTAAAGTATTTAAAAACAGCTCAACGTGGTTTGGGTTTCAAAGTGTCCGTTATATGTGTTATATATAACCTTGCCCTTTGATAGACAATCATGCCTATTACATCAATCGAAGATTAGTATTTGTTATGAGACTATTTGGTATTGGAGTAAATTACCGAAGCCAGTTTTCCATTCTTTTTACGAAAATTGCACTTGTAACAAGAGCCGTGTGCGACAAATGTTTTTCGAAGACAGCCAGAATTATCCATTTAGATTAATCAAGTTGGAAGAATAACAGTTTCTGGTGATGGAGCATGGAAAAAGAAGGGATTTTCATCACTACTTGGTGTCACAATACTGATTGGATGGCTTACGTGTAAAATGGTTGAACTGAAGATAAAGTCAAAAATTTGCAAAAAGTGTACTGGAAAGATATAAGAGAGAATATACACCATAACCTTCAGGAAAAATGGATGTGGATTCCGTTATAGAGATGTTTTAATGATTCGAAGAAAAGGATAATTTGAAGTACTGTTTACTGCATGAGAGAGAGACAGCAAAATTTGCGAAGGTATTATGGAAATATTACAGTAATAAAAAAAGGAGGCAAAAGAACATTAACGGGGAAATGAATTAATGAACTTTCCGTATATGATGGATTGGCTGATGAAAATCCACAACACGACAGTTATCCAGTTGGTCTCGATTCGCGGTGTTTTTGGAAAAAAGCGTATGCTTTGTCACAAATTGACGAGTACACCCACAAGCCAGCAATGGACAAAGATGTATAGAGGACATCTTTTGACAAGATGTTTAGGGGGATACACAAAACAATAATGAAAGTTCCAACGCTATGTTATGGTTGGTCTATGTCACCAAAAACGTTTCATAATGGCAAGAAAGTGGCCTTTTTAATGACGGCCTTGCAAGCATTATGGAAATAATGCAAGTACAAAAATGAAAAATTGAAAGATCGTGTTTTGAGTTTTTCCAAGAAGCGGACTCACATCGCATTGACTTATATATTGCTCGCAGAAACTTATTGTCAGACAGATTAGCTGCAAAAGAAGAAAATAACCTTAAGGAAGGACAAATGAACGGTGCAGGAATCGCTGATTAGAGGTTTTGAAAGAAAATACAGGGTCGCCGATATGTATGGAAACGGTCGATTATCTTCTTAATTTCTACAAGTTTTAGTGTTTTGTAATAGTATATTAAAAAACAAGTTTCGTAAGACACGCTTGAAATGCATGAATTCAAGTTGAAAAACGAGTGGCGAAGCCACGAGTTTTTTAATGAATGAGTGCTTTAAGTCTTATGAAACGTGTTTTTTATGCTATTTTTTGTAATTCGCGTTTCTATCCCTTTTTTTCTCAAAAATAAAATAAATTTTGACAAAGCAGGAAAATAGGTATGTAGCAGTTGGTAACACCGTAACACTTGAAAATAGAAATTTGAATTGACAATTAGAAAGTGTCAAAACACAAAATGTATTCACCTGACAAACATGTTTCATGTACACCTTCCAAAATAAGAGAAATTGCTCAGAGTTCAATGTCCCCATCATTGTGGACCTTGTATTCGATGCTAAAAACGTATTTAAACATCCATAGACAAACACTGTCATATTGACAACTAGAAAAATTAATGACCCAATGTCACCAACTTGAACTGGTTCCATAAAATGTTACTAAAATCTCATTACAGCATCGGATGCTGTAAGGAGTCTCATTACAGCACCCGTTTGAGTACTGTTATAGCTTTCATTACCGTCGCGAATTACAAAAAATCTATTACAATAATGACAAATTAAGTATACAGGGCCAGTCAAAAGACAATCATGAAACAAAGTTGGATTTTCTTTAATAGAAAATTCATGTAGCACATCCTAAACCTAAAGTTAACCGTTTTCGAGATATAGAACTTTGCAAATCACTCTTATATATTACACAAATATTTTAGTCCATTATGTTCATAGCTATCTAGTTACCTTTGAAAGTTTCTCATCTCCATAGCAACGCAGTGACACAACACATGTCCAAAATACAAAGTTGCAATATTTTACAATATGCTACAAGTTCAATATCTGGATAACGGTTAAGTATAGGTTTATGGTGGGTTACATGACTATTGTTTAGAAGTTCGAGATCAACTGAAATATAGAATAATATACAGGTGTTCCATTAAAGAAAACGTAAATTTGTTTCATCATTTTTGACTCATAGCTTGTGTAATTTTAATAATTGTTAATAAATAAAATACGTTTTTAAAACTAGAAAAGCTGCTTATTAAAACGCTACAACCCGTTTTTAGAAAACATATTTCCCTTCATTGCAAAAAAACTTATTTTTAATTTCGGGTCTCCAAGGTAACTTCTAGGTAGTTCTATGACTGGTGTTAGTTCTAATCTTAGTGTTAGTGCTGGTTTCAGTTGTTATTTATCGTTAGATTGTTGTATATTTTTATTGAACTAACACTAGATGTAAAACTAGAAGCATTCGGGTTTAGTCGTCTTCAGAGACGTGGGACTAAATCCGAATGTTTCTAGTTCTCGGTCTAGTGTTAGTTCTAGTGGCAGTGATAGGTAACGCTAGTTAGCATAAGATATTACTATGTTGTATATTTTTATTGAACTAAAATTAGAACGAGAACTAGAAACATTCGGGTTTAGTCGTGAAAAGAACTTACAGTTGTCAATGTCAACTTTAATTTTATTATTATATTCGTAATCTTCATAAAATAACCTTTAAAGTGAGTCCAAATTTGACGCATTTATCTCAAAAAACCAAAAAGTTCGAACTTTCAACTTTTAATTTTGACATATTTGTCAACTTCATAAAAAATCCTTTAAAATGAGTCCAAAGATGATGCACTTATCTCAAATAACAAAAAAGTTAGAATAAAAAACATTAAACCCTAAGTTAGCAATAATGAAGATAGCAATTTAATTTTTAAATATTAATACCAACCTTAATTTTTTATTATATTTTTGTTTTTGTGACAAATATTAAGACATTTTATAAAAATTAAGAATATGTCAAAATGACATTGACATTTCAAACCGGAAGTTGCTTATATCTCGAGTAATATTGGAATTAAACGTATCATGTTTGGACTCATTTTAAAGGATTTTTCACGACGATTACAAATATGTCAAAATTGACGTTGAGATTCTTAACCGGAAGTTAACCATAACTTCATTAATATTGAAGATAAATATGTCGTGTTTGTACTCATTTTAAAAGATTTTTAATGAAGATTACAAATATGTCAAAATTGAGGTTGACATTTTAAACCTGAAATTAGTTATCATATAATTGAAGTTTTAAAACTGAAGTTAATCTAGTGTTAGTCACTTTTCCGTAGTTTCTTTTTATTTTTAACGTGTTTTTTGGGTCATTTCACATTGATTAAAAAAAATCGTCAATTTTTAAGCCACGAAACTTGTTTGTAAAATGGATAAGATGAGCGATGTTAATCTATTTGTAGAGTCTCTGAAGATGGCCAAAGGCTGAAACTGGATAAAAATCTGTGATAAAAATGGACAGGCACCAAACAATTTTCAATAGTTTGAGCTTGTCTATTCTGAGAAGTCTGTTATATTTAGAGAGATGAAAACGAAAATCCCGTTTTTCTCAACATTATTCATTTGTCGCTTAGTCAAGTGATGCAATTCTAATTCAGCTCTAGATTACTGTACATTTTTATTAAACGAAAAGTAGACTAACGCTATATCTATCACTAGAACCATTCGGGTTTAGCCGTCTTAAAAGACACACGGCTAGACCCGACTGTTCTAGTATTAGTTCTAGTGACAGTGCTAGGTAACGTTAGTTAGCACTAAATATCACTATGTGGCATATTTTTGGCTATATCAGACACTCCCTAGTCCGTCTTAAGAGACGCACTTAAGAAACTTATTAATTATTATTCAGCGCTAGATTGTTGTATATTTTTATTGTACTAAAAGTAGAACTAACTCTAGACCTAGAACTAGAAACATTCGGGTTTAGCCGTCTTAAAAGAAGCACGACTATCAATCAAGACTTTTCTTTTAAATTGTGAACCTTATTAACTCTCAAACTAACAACATTACAAAACACGAATAGAATAAATTAAGCATTTGAAATGTATAATTCAAAGTGTGAAATAGTAGTTGCCTACCCATGCGTGACGTCACGAACGGGCCTTTGAGCTGTGCACCTTTTTCGGGATGTAGCAGCCCTCTTTTTCGTGTGCATTAAACTTATTTATTCAAACAGTTTAAAGTGCAAATTAAAAATTTATCGTATAACGGACTTTTGGTTATAACGAACACTCCCTTCCCCCGTATTAGTCCGTTATATTGAGATTTTACTAACAATGAAAGAAAAATAAATTGCAATTTTTGTTTAAAATTGATTATTTTAAAAATAGTTTAATATGGAACACTAAAAAGTGACAGTGAGAAAACTATGAAATCACTTTCAAAACGTTATTAAAGGAACTTGCGTTGGTCGGCTGTTGTAATATATACATTATTACATTATTCCCTTGACTTCACACTCTACCACTTTAACGCCAACAAATTTTTTAGTTCTAAACCTGTTCAAATTGGCTAAATGCCGCTTTTTGTCCAAGTTTAGCACGTTTTGGCACCGAAATCCCAACGAAATCAAAAAGTTCAAATTAACTCATGAATAAAAAAAATGTTTCTATTTTAAATCCTAATTGAAAAATCGCCATAAATATTGATTTACGAACCTAAAAATAGTGGTCGTTAACGGTATTTTCGCGTAACTTTTAAGTTTTAACACGTTCCTTCTTCTTACTTTTTTTAAATTTAAATCAACATCCGTTTTGGCATGTAAAGTTGAGGCGTCTCTCGTTGCATGCGAGAAAATGATTTATAACACCAGGCGGTCAAGTTCGCCATACTTTCCTATTGGAATTGGTTACGAACCGAATTGCACACACGCTATGAGTCCACGTGCCATTTCTAAATTCGGGGTTATATGCGCATTTACATTTTAAACACTCACTCATCACCGTTCAAACAAATTAACTCATCACAAAAATTATATAATCATAGGTGGTTTCGTTAAAACTTCATCGTTGCAGATTCGATATTTAGTTTAATCTAAATAAATAAAATGACAGTGACATAACTTTTACAAGAAGTCGAACAATATGGTCATCATGTTCCCCCACCGCTTAAATTTCCATCCCTTTCAAGCAAAAACTTTACAAAGTAATAATAATAACTTACATTTTATCCTTGTTGTTTCTTGTTGAGGTTTTTTTAAAAGGAGATGATGGTACGTTTTGAAATGTCACACTTAGATTGTCATATTATTTAGATTATCAATTAATAGATAGCCATGGTAGACTTCTAGATTCGTGTAAATCTAGTACAGTGACATTTTCCCTTCCCCCAGTTAAAATCGGTTATTTCTCTCAATAACGACGTTGGTGTGTTTAAAGATCTTTAAAAAAAGATTGTAAAGTTTACGGCGTTTGCAAAAGAAGTAAGAAACATGCTGAATTATGGTAATATATTTTTCTTAACGTTACATATTTTTACTTTAAAAATGTCCTAATTGCAAAATATTGTTTATAAATTATTTTCGTTCAAAATAAGAAAATTCAAAGTGTTTCGGGTTAATAGCTGATTTATTTTTTTTAATAATCGCGTGAGATTTTATTATGAAATTATCGTTTAAAAAAATAATAATGTTATGATTGACATAACAGCATTTTGCAAACAAATCGATATCGCTTTTTAAAACACAAATTTTGATTTTAATCATTTAATGAATAACTTTAAAGCACTTTAATATTTTTTATCGTTGAATATTGAGGGAAACGTTCAAAATTTCCTATTCTTTATCTACCTTTGATGCTTTCAGCAAAAATAGTTACGTCTCAAATATCGTTTTTGCAACCAAAACCTATTTATACCTAATTTATTTATAATTTGAGTCGAATTTATAATTTCGACTCAAAATATTCGGACATTTTTTACCACTCCAACAAATTTTCACAAAAGTTTGCCATCTTTGACGAGTAACAGGATAAATAATGATTAATAGCTTAGAATAACTTTTAGGTGTATAATAAAAGTATAACAGTGTTAAATATGGATATTATAACACATTATATTTAGAATATGTAAATAATTAATAGGAAATTAAGAATGTTTTCATAGTTAATTAAAACAAAAGAAAATTTTGTTGAAAAAAAACAATAGAAATAATTGATATAAAATAAATGCTAAACCGCAGTATTAATAATAAAACATAATATGTTGTGTGATATTAAAACCTTTATCTACAACTCAATGCCACCTGTTTAATTATGGGACGCGTTAATATAAAAAAAGATAAAATTTGAGGAAAATTATTGTTAAGGTTTGAAATATTCCTATTAAGTCTTAACTTATTAGTGCATGAAGATATTCTTTTGATGAAAAACATCTTTTTCTATTTTTTTAAAATTTTATTATCTATTATATCAAAAAAAATATATATCAAGTACATATTATATCAAAAGGGCCACTATGCGTAGAATACACTTAATCATATTTGTATTAATGAAACTTTATTATAACAGAAATACAACAATTTATTTATTGTTTGTCAGCAATGGCTCCGATACAGAAGTTTTCTCTCTTGACGCCCCAATTCTATATGATGTCACTAACCTGAGTACTATACCTATATCGCCGAAATGCCAATAATTAAAAACAGTTTATATTATTAGGTATCAATTTCTTCATAAGGAGGCACCCATTAACAACTGAAGCATCTAACAGAAATGAATAGATTGGCCAGTACTACTTTCTAAGCCTCATTCACGTTCTGCATACTGCAACAAGTTCATCTAATTAATCCAACCCACCCATTCCTTTATTATAGCTTGTTACCATTTCGGGCTGCTCTATCTATAAGACCTATTTTCTTTGCATCACCGTGTACTACTGGATACAGATTTTCTTTGAAAGGTGGTAGCCATGGTAACTTTGTTATGTTTCCATTGAACAAATAATATTTCATCACTTCCCATAAACCGGTATGTAGCTCTGCATGGTTTATTTTAGTGGTGGAACGGATATCCGGCCTATCCCGCCAAAAATCCGGACGGATACTGGATAGTTACCAAATATCCGGCTTTGGCTGGATATTAAACATCTATTACTTAGTACTCTACTATTCACCGGAATTAGTATCTCTTTTAGGTGTTGGACACTGCAGATAATAATCAAGTTCAACCCCAATAGGACTTTTTTCATTTAATACAACTTTATTTATATNTTAATAATAAAACATAATATGTTGTGTGATATTAAAACCTTTATCTACAACTCAATGCCACCTGTTTAATTATGGGACGCGTTAATATAAAAAAAGATAAAATTTGAGGAAAATTATTTTTAAGGTTTGAAATATTCCTATTAAGTCTTAACCCATTAGTGCATGAAGATATTCCTTTGATCAAAAACAACTTTTTTCTATTTTTCTTTAATTTTATTATCTATTATATCAAAAAAAAATATATCAAGAACATATTATATCAAAAGGGCCACTATGCGAAGAATACATTTAATCATATTTGTATTAATGAAACTTTATTATAACAGAAATACAACAATTTATTTATTGTTTGCCAGCAATGGCTCCGATACATATGATGTCACTAAGCTGAGTACTATACCTATATCGCGAAATGCCAATAATTAAAAACAGTTTATATTATTAGGTATCAATTTCTTCATAAGGAGCCACCCATTAACAACTGAAGCATTTAACAGAAATGAATAGATTGGCCAGTACTACTTTCTAAGCCTCATTCACGTTCTGCATACTGCAACAAGTTCATCTAATTATCCAACCCACCCATTCCTTTATTACAGCTTGTTATCATTTCGGGCTGCTCTATCTATAGTCTATCTATAAGACCTATTTTCTTTGCACCACCATGTACTGCTGAATACAGATTTTCCTTGAAAGTTGGTAGCCATGGTAACCACTCTGTTATCTTTCCATTGAACAAATAATACTTCATCACTTCCCATAAACCTGCATTTAGTTCTGCATGGTTTATTCTAGTGGTGGAACGGATATTCGGCCAAAAAACCGGCCGGATACTGGATAGTTACCTAATATCCGGCTTTGGCTGGATATTAAAAACCTATTACTTAGTACTCCACCCATCCACACGAATTAGTATCTTTTTTAGGTGTTGGACACTGCAAATAATAATCAAGTTCAACCCCAATAGGACTTCTCTCATTGAATACAACTTTATTTATCATTAGCAACCTCATTGTAACAATCCCAATACGATATATAAAATCTCTTGTTGCAATTTCGTCTAGTTTTCTTCTCTTCGGTTGTAATATGATGTCACTAAGCTGAGTACTATATCCATATCGCCGAAATGCCAATAATTAAAAACAGTTTATATTATTAGGTATCAATTTCTTCATAAGGAGCCACCCATTAACAACTGAAGCATTTAACAGAAATGAATAGATTGGCCAGTACTACTTTCTAAGCCTCATTCACGTTCTGCATACTGCAACAAGTTCATCTAATTATCCAACCCACCCATTCCTTTATTACAGCTTGTTATCATTTCGGGCTGCTCTATCTATAGTCTATCTATAAGACCTATTTTCTTTGCACCACCATGTACTGCTGGATACAGATTTTCTTTGAAAGTTGGTAGCCATGGTAACCACTCTGTTATCTTTCCATTGAACAAATAATACTTCATCACTTCCCATAAACCTGCATTTAGTTCTGCATGGTTTATTCTAGTGGTGGAACGGATATTCGGCCAAAAAACCGGCCGGATACTGGATAGTTACCTAATATCCGGCTTTGGCTGGATATTAAAAACCTATTACTTAGTACTCCACCCATCCACACGAATTAGTATCTTTTTTAGGTGTTGGACACTGCAAATAATAATCAAGTTCAACCCCAATAGGACTTCTCTCATTGAATACAACTTTATTTATCATTAGCAACCTCATTGTAACAATCCCAATACGATATATAAAATCTCTTGTTGCAATTTCGTCTAGTTTTCTTCTCTTCGGTTGTAATATGATGTCACTAAGCTGAGTACTATATCCATATCGCCGAAATGCCAATAATTAAAAACAGTTTATATTATTAGGTATCAATTTCTTCATAAGGAGCCACCCATTAACAACTAAAGCATCTAACAGAAATGAATAGATTGGCCAGTACTATTTTCTAAGCCTCATTCGCGTTCTGCATACTGCAAAAAGTCATCTAATCATCTAATTTATCCAACCCACCCATTCCTTTATTACAGCTTGTTATCATTTCGGGCTGCTCTATCTATAGTCTATCTATAAGACCTATTTTCTTTGCACCACCATGTACTGCTGAATACAGATTTTCCTTGAAAGTTGGTAGCCATGGTAACCACTCTGTTATCTTTCCATTGAACAAATAATACTTCATCACTTCCCATAAACCGGTATGTAGGTCTGCATGGTTTATTTTAGTGGTGGAACGGATATCCGACCTATCCCGCCAAAAATCCGGACGGATACCGGATAGTTACCAAATATCCGGCTTCGGCTGGATATTAAACATCTATTACTTAGTACTCTACCATTCACAGGAATTAGTATCTCTTTTAGGTGTTGGACACTGCAGATAATAATCAAGTTCAACCCCAATAGGACTTTTTTCATTTAATACAACTTTATTTATATTAGGTTTGTCATTAGCAACCTCACTGTAACAATCCCAATATGATATATAAAATCTCTTGTTGCAGTTTTGTCTAGTTTTCTTCTCTTCGGTTGTAATTTATCATTACATTCATTACTAACAGAACTGTCGCTGTTGTCACTTTCGATTATTAATTAAAGTATGCTCTTAGTAATGCAAAAAACCGTTTTGAAAAATCACTTTCAGTTCTTGAGAAATATATTTTTGAAATGATCCACAGTTTTTCGAATTTTGCAATTTTCGCCGATTAAGATTTAAAAATTCGTATAAAATCCATTTCTTGGAATATGAGTATGAAAATTGTCCAAAGTATTAATAAGAGTGTCCTCTTTCCAATGAACCAACACGATTTGAAAAATAACTTTTACTTTTTGAGAAAACAATGTTTGAAGTTTTGATAAAATTTTCGATGCTGCAATTTTCATCGATAATTTTCAAAATTCGCTATAAACTTAATTTCTTGGCGTTCTGCATACTGCAAAAAGTCATCTAATCATCTAATTTATCCAACCCACCCATTCCTTTATTACAGCTTGTTATCATTTCGGGCTGCTCTATCTATAGTCTATCTATAAGACCTATTTTCTTTGCACCACCATGTACTGCTGAATACAGATTTTCCTTGAAAGTTGGTAGCCATGGTAACCACTCTGTTATCTTTCCATTGAACAAATAATACTTCATCACTTCCCATAAACCGGTATGTAGGTCTGCATGGTTTATTTTAGTGGTGGAACGGATATCCGACCTATCCCGCCAAAAATCCGGACGGATACCGGATAGTTACCAAATATCCGGCTTCGGCTGGATATTAAACATCTATTACTTAGTACTCTACCATTCACAGGAATTAGTATCTCTTTTAGGTGTTGGACACTGCAGATAATAATCAAGTTCAACCCCAATAGGACTTTTTTCATTTAATACAACTTTATTTATATTAGGTTTGTCATTAGCAACCTCATTGTAACAATCCCAATACGATATATAAAATCTCTTGTTGCAGTTTTGTCTAGTTTTCTTCTCTTCGGTTGTAATTTATCATTACATTCATTACTAACAGAACTGTCGCTGTTATCACTTTCGATTATTAATTAAAGTATCCTCTTAGTAATGCAAAAAACCGTTTTGAAAAATCACTTTCAGTTCTTGACAAATATATTTTTGAAATGATCCACAGTTTTTCGAATTTTGCAATTTTCGCCGATTAAGTTTTAAAAATTCGTATAAAATCCATTTCTTGGAATATGAGTATGAAAATTGTCCAAAGTGTTAATAAGAGTGTCCTCTTTCCAATAAACCAACACGATTTGAAAAATAACTTTTAGTTTTTGAGAAAACAATGTCCTACAAGATCCTTGTAGAAATATCACCAATTATTAATTAAAGTATCTTCTTCTTAATACAAAAAGCCGTTTTTTGAAAAATCACTTTCAGTTCTTGAGAAAAAAATTTTTGAAATGATCCACAATTTTTTTGAATTTTGCAATTTTCGCCGATTAAGTTTTAAAAATTCGTATAAAATCCATTTCTTGGAATATGAGTATGAAAATTTTCCAAAGTGTTAATAAGAGTGTCCTCTTTCCAATGAACCAACACGATTTGAAAAATAACTTTTAGTTTTTGAGAAAACAATATTTGAAGTTTTGATAAAATTTTTTTTTAAGTATACCAACACTGGTAAAATAATTATCAAAATAGATCTTATACCCTTCATTTTCTCTAATTCCAGCTTTATTTATTAGGTCTAAAACGACATTTCCTCCAAGCCCAAACTTATTTTCATTTTTTTTAGTATCTTTTTCTGTATATTATACATCAAAGCTTACTTACTTACTGTGTCTCACAGGTTTACCTTTCATGTATTGCTTCGCGTAATATTTCCCGTAATAAGATATCATACTTTCATCTATCATTAAGTTTTTCAATAAATGGTCTTAGTTTATACAATTCATCTTCAAAATTATTGTAAGTGTTATCGTTGAAGTGTATGTATAGTGTATGTTGTCTTGTAACATTTTTGGCACATCACCTTGGCTCTTCCACTGCATTCGTTTGTTCGACAGTATGTCACTATTTGGCATATCCAGATAGTAACATACCGCCTGACACTACATACAATTCATCAATGGTTACATGGACATTAGTGTTCTTTTATTGGGCGTATATGTTTGTTTGGTCTAAAATATTTTTCATTATCAACAAATAATTTAAAATAATCCAATGGATCTTCTGCTTGGTCGGCTTCTTTGGAATGTTTCCTGGGGTCGCTTGAGACGTTGTAAGAACACAATGGAGTAGTATCTTCACGCCAATTGCCCTTCTTTTGATGCTGAAGAGGGAGCGTTCTTCTCAAATGTGTGGTAGAAGATCTTCCTCTCCAAAATCATCATCAAATCCATGAAACTCAACATCACTTTGTTGCTTTAAGATGCCTTTCGATAAATGGATTACATCACCTAGCTACATCTTATATTTTAAGGTTTCATAGGCAGTTTAAAATTAGGCAGTCTCACCTAATTTTCTTGAAAAAAATGTATTGGATCTTAATTTATAACAAATTGATAGGTGTCATGGCTATATTGTAACCAAATCATCGAGATTTTTTGATTGAACGAATATCTATTTTCTGATGTTGTAAATTTTAATGTCCAATAGTTTCAGAAAATTTCATGATATATGCCTTAGAAAGTATTATTACTGTTTGCTGTTTTATATCGTTCTCTATATCCTTCTGCCAAAAACTCTGTGTGTAGTAAGAAATTTTAATCGGGGAATACAAACTAAAGTTTTTGAAACACCTAATTTAAAAGGCGACTCCAGACTTGAGATTCACAATGTTGCTAATGCAGTGCTATATTGAAGATACTTACTTCAACGTTACGTATATTACGTAAGAGTAAGTTTCTTCTTCTTCTTCATATATTAGGCAGTTTTTCCCGATTTTCTATAATGAAATTCCTCTACAAGTCCTCATTCTACTTTTTCATTGGGCGTCCAATATTTCTTCATCCAACCGGTGATTTATCTCGGACAATCTTTCCTATTTGTTGTCCATACATTCTCTTTATAATGTTCGTTCCACTCACATTTTCAATTTCTTATCCACACATTAATGTTTTTACTTATTTCTCTATCCCAAAGCATTCCCACAGCTATTTTTCTTTATGTTTTCATTTCACTCGTTTCCAAACATCTCTGAGTTTTGCGTATTTCTGGGCTGTTCTCGGCGGTGTAAGAGATTTTGTCTCTATTCTTATGTACTTATTTCTTCAAATAGTATCATTTCAACACTCTGCTATTCTGTTGCCTTTATTGTTTGTTCTTTTAGTTCGTCTTCTATATTGTCGTTTTGTCGTCATGGCAATTTAACTTACACCTTATTGGTTCCTTAGGAATACTACTGATTTGGATTTTTCAGCCGACATCTTCATGATCAACATCTTCGCGATCGTAGTAAACCCGATGCAAAAATCTCTGGAAATCCTCCCAATAGTTTCAGAAAATTTCATGATATATGCCTTAGAAAGTATTATTACTGTTAGCTGTTTTATATCGTTCTCTATATCCTTCTGCCAAAAACTCTGTGTGTAGTAAGAAATTTTAATCGGGGAATACAAACTAAAGTTTTTGAAACACCTAATTTAAAGGGCGACTCCAGACTTGAGATTCACAATGTTGCTAATGCAGTGCTATATTGAAGATATATATAAGAGTGAAACTTACTCTTCCTCTTCTTCTCCTTCATATATATGAGGCAGTTTTTCCCGATTTTCTATAATGAAATTCCTCTACAAGTCCTCATTCTACTTTTTCATTGGGCGTCCAATATTTCTTCATCCAACCGGTGATTTATCTCGGACAATCTTCCCTATTTGTTGTCCATACATTCTCTTTATAATGTTCGTTCCACTCACATTTTCAATTTCTTATCCACACATTAATGTTTTTACTTATTTCTCTATCCCAAAGCATTCCCACAGCTATTTTTCTTTATGTTTTCATTTCACTCGTTTCCAAACATCTCTGAGTTTTGCGTATTTCTGGGCTGTTCTCGGCGGTGTAAGAGATTTTGTCTCTATTCTTATGTACTTATTTCTTCAAATAGTATCATTTCAACACTCTGCTATTCTGTTGCCTTTATTGTTTGTTCTTTTAGTTCGTCTTCTATATTGTCGTTTTGTCGTCATGGCAATTTAACTTACACCTTATTGGTTCCTTAGGAATACTACTGATTTGGATTTTTCAGCCGACATCTTCATGATCAACATCTTCGCGATCGTAGTAAACCCGATGCAAAAATCTCTGGAAATCCTCCTCATTCTCCACTCTCCAGTAGTAGCAAAGTATTATCTTCGGGGTAACATTAAATCTCTTTATTACCCATTTTGTAGTATCTTCTTCTTTTTACTTATCTAATTATTTCGTCAGTTATAATGTTAAACAGTACGGGACTTGACTCATTAAGTCAAGTCTACTATCTCATTTGCCTTGTGCTGATTATTACCTCTATAGGATCAGTCAACTCTCGATTTATTCTCTGTGATCTTCGTATTATTTTATTTATGAACGTTGTTAATTCCTCAATTAGTTGCATCCCTCAGTACTTTAGTAATTCATTCTGTATTATTCCATTATTACCAGCTGGTTTTCCATTTTTTAATGTTCTAAATGTTGCTGCTTGTTTATTGTCTACTTCTGTTGTTTTATTTGTTACTATTTTGTGTGGTGTTTCCAGAATTGTAGGTATTAAGTTTTCCATCTTATCTAATTTTTTCTCTGTTCATGTATCATTTTGAAAATCTTCTTCTGAAAACTTTTCCCAATATTTTTCTTTATTTTTTCATACCAATGTGTTTGTTATAAGGGAGGCAGATAGAACCGACTGGTGCAGTACTTTACTGCTTTACTTGGAGGCTCGCAGGATATCCCTCAGAGTGTAGCCATTCTTCTGGGGTATCTTCTAAACATCCTTTTTTAAATTCTTTTTGTCGCATATCCTCTCCGCTCGCTGGAGCAAGGATTGGGTCATTGACCTTTTCTGTTGTGAATAGTGATGCGACGAAGTCTGTAGGTACCTGTTCGTGTGTGCCTTCTTCTGATACTTTCCCAGTTCCATACCGTCATCTGTCTACTTAGTGAGCAAAACGTCCAGAAAAGGTAACTGTTTTGCAGCTTTCATGGTAAATTTGATATTGCGAGTTCAGGTAGTCAAGAAATTCGTGAAAATGCTCTTTTCCATGTTGCCAAATCGCAAAGTCATCCACATAACGAAGCCATAGATACGATTTTCGACCATATTCTGTTAAATTCGTGCAAAGTTTTTGATATATCTACATATATTTTAATATATTTAAAATTTGCTCAATATTTTTATTAATTCAAATAAAAAATTTCTTGTAGTTAATACTAGTAAAAATATTTAAATTATTGTTTTTCATTTTAAGGAATCTTCATCAATGGCTGCTGATTCTGTAAGAAGTTTAGTACTGGTAGAAAACGAAACGTACGAATTAATAGACGGCGACGGTAATTTCTACGTTAGCAAAACAAATTTAGGTCCAACATATCCCACAAACGATCCATTCTCAAATTTTTCCAATCCCGATCTCGACGAGCAAATCTCTTCGTTAATCCCACCACAATCAAACATGGAACCGATTTTAATAAACGATTACGCAAAAATGAATTTTTTCACGCAAGCAAATGCAAATGTTACGATATATCTTAACACCGATAACGGTGGTAGTTTTATCAACAACGATACGTGCATAAACAATGAAGTAATCGATCTCACCACAAATAATTCCAACATTATCGATGATGTTAAAAAACAGCCTCACCAAAAAGAAAATCAAGATTTACCCGAATTTATCGATATATCCCAATTGAAAATACCTTTTCCAGAGGTTCAACTAAAAAATAAAGATGAGGAAAAAGATAAACAAATCATTTCTTCCGACATTACTGAAACTGAAACAGGAGAAGATGACAATGATGTAGTTTTCGTTAAAGAATACACAATTCATAATACAACAATCGACGAAGATGTTGTTCCTTTAGATTTAAGAAGTAGAAACGAAGAAAAAGATAAAGTAGTCCAAGAACCAAGAAGAAACCCAAAAAGAACCGTACAAATTCTTAAAGAATATTATAGTAGTTTTAAATATAGTCCGGATTTTTACGGAACCGGTAAAAGAAAACGGGAATGTTGTGACACAAAAAAGAAGCTAGGTGCAATTCTTAATCCACCACCGCTTTTAACTAACGAAAATTTTAAAGAATGGCCGGTTGAAGGAATGCATGAAAAACCCGTTTACAACCCAACATCGAAAAAATTAGAAATATTTGGAAAAGAGAAGAAAAAAGCTCCGGTGAGAAAAGTGAAAGAAGTTGTTAAAAAACGAACCTTCAAAAAAGGTAAACGCCGAATATGTAAAAATAAAATTCAAGAAGAGGTCAATGAGGGAGTTTCAAAAGAATTTGCGACGTTAACTCACGAAACTTTACAAGAAGTTATCGGTTATGTTCAACAAATAAAAGATTATAATAGTATTGTCAAAGAAGAAAAGAAACTGATAAACTTGGAAAGTTTAAAACAACTTGTTACAGATTCTTGTGTTTTATACAGTATAGCAAATGACGTTCCTCAAAAATCTGTATCAAAATATTTGAAGACAATTAGAAAAGATATTAAATTGTGATATTGTAAACTTTTAATTGAAAATTCTCAGGTTATTTTGACTAAAACAAACTATGTATTTTATAAGAAAAGGTTATTTTTATAATTGATTGTTTTAATAACTAAGTGTTGATAATAAAACTAAAATAAAATTATTTATTTATTTTTTAATTAACCAGCTAATGAAGCTAAAGCACCAGGAGCTATTCTTGATCCTATTTGCATTGGCTTTGGTAATACCCGAAATCCATTTTTATCAGCAACATATTTAACAATTTCTTTTATACCATCAGGTCTAATATAAGAGTATCTCCCAGTTACAACAAATCCATCTTTTGGATCTGGACTTTTATAACCAATTTCTTCTCTTTCAATATTATTACTTGTTTTAAATCTAAAAAAAAACAATATTTGTTAGTTATGTTAAGGCTAAAACAATAAGTCAATAAGTTCTTGTTATAAATTTGAATTAATTATTTTTTGTTATAAACTAATAAGTGAAGTAAAGAAGGTTGAATTGGGGAACAAAGAACTAAAGATAATCTGCTAGGCAGATGATTCCGTTTTAATTTCGGAGCATGAGGATAACTTGCAGAGAATGCTCTTTCAATTTGAAAAAGCAGCTACCAAGTACCACATGACAATATCGGTAGAAAAGATCCATATCGAAAGAGTCGAGACGATGCAAATTGATGATTTATGTTAAACCGGTGGAACAGGTTATGAGTTTTAAATATTTCGGCGTCAGCATCACAAGTAGCAAAGACCTTTGCAAGGAAGTCAAGGCTCAGACTACCAAAGCAGCCTTAATATCGGGGTATTGGCGAGATATAGTATGGCGAAACAAACACTATGGATCGTAGTCCATAGTAGGCTATACCCTGAGGGACTATAAGAGAAGCGAAGACATCAGAGAAGTCTGCGGTGTCCAAGTATAGTCCGATGGTCTCGATCCAGTCTTCGTGCATGGAGGGACTATGTTGAGCGGATGGATGACAACAGATTTCCGAAAATTGCAAGAGATGGTACTTCCTGGACGAAAACTGGAATTCATCATCCCATCCACGTCTCTAAATTATAGAATACAAGGTAAAAGAGAAAGAAGAAGTTTTGTGAAAACACCGTTTTGTTGACAGTCTTATGGAAAACTGCAGTTAGGCAAACCAAGGATAATACGTAAATTAATTTAAGACTCTATTAAGACATTTTGGAATACAATTGGCAGATTTTATATGACTGTATAAATACGACTACTAGTGTCAGAATACGTAGGCTGGGTTATTTCGGTTCCTTCATCTATAACCATTTCGGATACTAAAGCAGTTTTCTTCCATGTTCTGTTTCTTGGACTGTTTTAATTTTTTAACTACGTTATACTTAAAACGGAAGGCTGTCATAACGCCAATCAGATAAGACACGCTACCGTCACATCCACCTTAACCGTCGTGCTCCAATCTACTGGAAGGTTACGAAAAGTCGGAGTTCGTTTACTCAAGAAAACTTATAGAATTAAATAGTATGGGTATGTACACCATTGTTTTTCGAGGCAAAATTCTCCACCTCGTAGATAAGATACTTAATAATTCAAAATTGGAGATCTAGGTTTTAATATGGAAAGTAAAAGAATTGTTAAATCTGTACTATATTTCACACTATTATACATAGGACATCGCATATTAATTTATATGTATTTATATGAAGCTAGCACTGAGTCAGAAATGAGATAAACGCAAGAATAAAAGCTTTCAAAAGAGAATTCTGGATAAAGTTTACGTGTGATATCACCTACGATCTGTATGGAGCGCAAATGAAGGCTGTAATGAGCTGAGGAAATGAAAAAAAAAGTAAATGAGTTTGTTCAAAACAAGACCGTGCCGATAGAAACGTAGCAAAAGTATTTCAAGGGACTCTATTCAGGTGAAGAACTGGCTGATGTATGAGAATATGTGACCAACACAATCGCTATAATCACTGAAGAGGATGTTGAAGCAAAACTAGTCAAATTAAAGAACAGAAAGTAGTGTGGAACTGATAACATATCCAATGAGTTCTTAAAGTATAGAGGGCACAAGCTGATACAATTGACAAAAATGTTCAACAAGATTCTTTATGACTCAAAAGTACCAGACGTGTCCGGAGAATTATATTATTATAGGAATATCACTCGGAATTATTCGCAAGCATTGTCAAGGAGAAGCTTGAAAACCAAATAATTAATGCTGAAGAACAACAAGGTTTCAGAAATGGTCGATCTGCAACCGATGCAGTATTCATAATCAAACAGATAAAAGAAAAATAAATCTAGTTTGACAGACCTGCGTTCATCTGCTTCGTGGATCTTAGGAAAGCTTTCGACAAGGTTCATTGGCGAACATCATAAACGTTTTAAAAGATAAGAATGCGCCAGCCAACATAGTATAGATCAGCGATTCCCAATAAGGGGTACCTGGACCCCTAGGGGTCCACTGCCACTATACTGGGAGTCCACGGCGCATTTGTGAAAAATAATGGAGGCAAATAAATTACAAAAAAGTAAAAATTTTAACTACAACATACAAAATTAATTAATTGCATACATAAATTATATTAATAACATTACTCTCAGAAGAAATATGTAACGTTTTCTAGGACATTTTAGGTATGGAGGTTGGTAATATTATTCANAGTTTCTGAAGAAGGTTGCAACATGGCATCCGAAACGTCAAACCTTTTATTAAAAGACGCACGGCAAAACCCGAAAGTTTCTAGTGTTAGTTCTAGTTTTAGTTCTAATCTTAGTTTAATTCACACCGGCCGTGAAAGCCTTCGTACTTATATCCAATGAGTTGTTAAAGTATAGAGGGCACAAGCTGATACAGAAATTGACAAAAATGTTCAACAAGATTCTTTATTATGACTCAAAAGTAGCAGATGTATGGCATAACAGGTCACCATTCCAATATTTAAGAAAAGGCAAAAGACGTGTCCGGAGAATTATATTATTATAGGAATATCACTCAGAATTATTCGCAAGCATTGTCAAGGTTTCACAACAAGGTTTCAGAAATGGTCGATCTGTAACCGATGCAGTTTGACAGACCTCCGTTCATCTGCTTCGTGGATCTTACGAAAGCTTTCGACAAGGTTCATTGGCGGACATCATAAACATCTTAAAAGATAAGAATGTGCCAGCCAACATAGTATAGATCAGCGATTCCCAATAAGGGGTACCTGCCACTGCCACAATACTGGGAGTCCACGGCGCATTTGTGAAAAATAATGGAGGCAAATAAATTACAAAAAAGTAAAAATTTTAACTACAACATACGAAATTAACTAATTGCATACATAAATTATATTAATAACATTACTCTCAGAAGAAATATGTAACGTTTTCTAGGACATTTTAGGTATGGAGGTTGGTAATATTATTCATTTGGGGAATTTTTTAAGTTTCCTCACTTTGTCGTTATAAGTTAGCACTTCCTTCTATTTCTTCTTTTAAATCTATAAGTGTTCGTGTTCTTAGTGAAGGTTCGCAAAAATCATTTAAAGAAGAAATTAAGTAACCAAACTCAATATTGACATTCTTTCAAGCAATATTTGCTGAGTAGATGTTACAAAGAAATACATTTTTACTTTTTTATTATACAAGGTAATGAAACAACAGATAACGTTACTCAAATTCCATGTAGAAAAATCAGTTTTAACTCGAAATGGAAGAATACGTTTTTTTTAGATCCAGTTTTGTTTGCAACTTCTTTTGCAAAACTTCTTGTCAAGAAGAAGGCCCAATCCTGTCAATACAGCGCAGAATATTTATCCTTTGGTTTTACAAAATTTCTGCCCTCGGAATCTAGCAAAACACGATCGCAGTGTGTTATTTGCAGCCAGGTTCTGCTAATGATTCTATGAAACCAGCTAAGTTAAGACACCATTTTGAAAAAAAACACCCAGAGTTTCAGCAAAAAAACGGATTTTTTAAAAAGAAGGAACAACAATTAAACAACATGCAAAGAAACGTGTCCTACGTTGCCATACCAGCATCAAACAATTCATCCATAATGGCCTCCTTAGGTATGTCAACGAATAACTCAAAAAAGTACACCTCATACTATTGCTGAAGATCTCATTACCAGCAGCAAAAATTATGGTGTCTGCAATAATTGGCGATACACAAACAATACAGTGCAAAAAACAATTCAAAGTATGGCAGAAAACATAAAAGATCAATTAATACAAGGAGTTCGTGTATCACCTTGGTTTGCTATACAGTTGGATGAAACAACGGACGTAATTAGTCAGGCAGTTTTACTGTGCTGTGTGAGATACAAGTATGAAGATGCCATTCTCGAAGACCTGTTCTTTGTAGATTTCTTAATTAACACCATGGCAGAAGAAATTTTTGAAAAATTAAATAGTTTTTCAATAAAAATAAAATCGATTGTGCGAAATATGTTGGTGTAAGCACAGACAGTGTCAAAGCTATGTCCGGAAGAATAACAGGTCTGAAGGCGAGAATAAAGCAAGTATCTTCATCTGCAGAGTGGTACCATTGTGCTATACGTCAAGAATCGTTGGTTACAAAAAGAATTCCTGCAGAATTAGAAGCGGTCTTACATGAGTGTATCAGAATAATAAATTTTATTAAAAGTAGTGCGCTGAATACGCGGCTTTTTTGAAAGAAAAGCAAAAGTACTTAGGGAATTACATAAAAAAGTCCATGTATTCTTAATAGAAGAACAACATTTCCAATCCCATCGCACTGATAAATTTTCTCCAGGAAAATTTAAATAATTCCACATTTCTTATCAAACTATACAGTCTTAGCCCCTTTTTGTTTAATCTCCTGATGGATAAAATCATAGAAGAAGTAACATCCTGAAATGTGGGGTATGTGATACATGGGCACCAAGAGAGTTAGTATGGTGTACTACGCGGATGATGCAGCAATAGTTCTAGGAACCTACAACGACACTCTACCATTTATTTTAAGTAAACCGCAAGTTTAATATGACTATCTCCGTTGATAAAAGCAAGTCCATGGCTATTGCAAAAGATACGATCATGTGTAAACTCGTAATCGATGATGTCATTCAATTTAACTATTTAGGCGTACATATATCTAATGATATACGGAATAGGAGTGAGGGCAGAAACAAACAAAACCAAGAGCATGCTATGAGTGGCCAGATGAAGACACTAAGATCAATTGCAGGGAAAACAAGAATGGACAGAGTGAGAAATTTTATATTAGAGATCAATGCAACGTTTTGGACATAGTAAGATGGAGAAGACAGCGGAAAACCGGAGACCTTCAAAGAGATGACGTGACATCTGGCAATCGACACCTCAGGAAATGGTTCAAAGGCAACGACCTCAGAATTAACAGATCGACAGATCTCCAATAAAAAGAAGAAAAAGAATTCACCTCATTAATGTAATCATAAAAATATAATAATAATCTTGTGAAAGTAATCCTGTTCAACTAAATGTTAATTATAGTGGTAATAAACGTCTTTTGACAATATCTTAATTGAAACTTACTGAAATGAAAACTTTTGAGATCCATCCTGTTGTATAGTAGGCGGTATGTTAACTTCTCGTATGGTTTCAAAGGTTGCTTTTTGTGTGTTTACGTGTTGAAACAGAACGACGAAAAACGTCAGGTAAAAAGACATGAATCGCATGGTTTTCTTGTGGCAAGTCAGGCAATTCAACTACTAATAATACTCTGTTAAAGCACGACTATAGGTCATCTCTTCACCGTGAAGGATTTCAACATGACGCATCGTGATTGTCCGTCGTTAAAATTGCGAAAAAATTAACTAGTATAAATGAAAAAATATCCGGATTCAAGGTAAGTTATGTTGATTTGATTCATGTATGAAAACTGCTTTAATTTCTTTTTGTTTATATTATAAATTAAGTCATGAGAGTTTATTAATTATCCAAAAACAATTATGCAGTTAATAATTAAAATGTTATGTAAGATTTTATGATTATGATAAAGCTTTTTTTTAATTTTCATTTGTAACATCCAATTTTACAACGAAGTATGTTTGGTTGTCTACAAATAATTAAGAATTTTCAATCTTGTATTTTAATACAGAAAATAGTATTTTTGATAAAATTACAAACCATAAAATATAATAAAGATTGAAACGATGAATTCAATTTATTTTAACGAGACTTGTAGATAACGAAGTGCCAAGTAACATAATCTTCGAAAATTGAAGCTGAATTATTGTGATTAATGGAAAATGGCAGGCAGGTACACTGTATCTCGAAGGAGTTTCATTGCGTCTCCTCCCCTTTTAACTGTTTTTCGTTGTATTCCCCGCCACGCTTCTATAGTTCTTTAGGTGCCGGAGAAAGGCAGATGCTATGACCTATTACCTCATCCGTTTTTGCCAAAGGTCAGGTGACATAAAACCGGCTAAATAACACCTTATTCCATACTCAGGACGATTTTACTACTACTACAAGGGATTTTATTAAAAATAAAAATTTAATAATCAAAAAAAAAATTGATATTAAAAATAATTATATATTTTATTTTATTTTGTCATTAAAGCGCAAACATTGAAATCGTTATTGGAGAAAGCGTCAACATCGATGTTGTAATTGTATTTAAAAGAAACATAAAATGTTGAGTTGCCCAACGCGTACTTGAGTAGAAACTTCTCTTCTAAGAATAACTATGGTTAAAATTGATGATCAAAATATTCCCACCGACAGGTCGGTATTTTCGCGAAAGACCGCGCGCATCATTGTTCTATTGAGAAGCCGTTACGTTTCTTCCTTCTTCTGTGTGCTCCGATGAAATGCCAACAACGTAGTAGCTCCCGTAATCTTATTAAAAGGGGAACCTTTACATCGTCACAAAAACGTCTTACATCGAGCGAGTAACCTTTTCTAAGAGGAGGGTTATACAAAACACCCCAGAAATATCTTTTCAAAACATGACTTTAAATATTTCGAAACTTACTAATTACAATATGAATTTAATCATTACAAGAAGTAATCTATCCAAATTAAGATGGTAAAAAAAAAACTTGAAATAACGGACTAATACGGGGAAGGGAGTGTCCGTTGTATGAAAAATATTAATTTACACTTTAAAGACTTTGAAGACGCACGGCTAAACCTGAAAGTTATTAGTTCTAGGTCTAGTGTTAGTTCAATGAAAAATATACAACAATCTAATTCTGAATACTAGTGACGGATCGGATAGTGATTTTACGAAAAGCCGGATATTCAGCATCCCCTTCGGTCGGATATCCGGCATATCTATCCGAGGATGATGCAATTTAACTAACGAAGCAACTTTAAAAAGAGGATACTTTAAATAATAATTGGTGATATTTCCACAAGGATCCTTCAAAAAATTAATTTTATACTGAATTTTTAAAATTATCGATCAAAATTGCAACATCGAAATTTTATCAAAAATTCAAATATTGTTTTATCAAAAACTAAAAGTTATTTTTCAAAACGGGTTGGTTCATTGGTAAGAGGACAGTTTTATTAACATTTTGGGAAATTTTTATACTCATATTCCAAAAAATCGATTTTATACGAATTATTAAAACTTAATCGGCGAAAATTTGCAAAATTCGAAAAAATTTGACGATTATTTCAAAAATTTATTTCTCAAGAACTAAAAGTGACTTTTCAAAACGGCTTTTTGCATTAAAAAGACGATACTTTAATTAATAATTGGTGATATTTCCACAAGGATTCTTCAAGAAATTAATTGTAGAGCGAGTTTTGAAAATTATCGATGAAAATTGCAACATCGAAAATTTTATCAAAACTTCAAATATTGTTTTCTCAAAAACTAAAAGTTATTTTTCAAAACGTGTTGGTTCATTGGAAAGAGCACACTTTTATTAACACTTTGGGAAACTTTTATGCTCATATTTCAAGAAATGGATTTTATACGAATTTTTAAAACTTAATCGGCGAAAATTGCAGAACTCGAAAAAAATGTCGATCATTTCAAAAATTTATTTCTCATAAACTAAAAGCGATTTTTCAAAACGGCTTTTTGTATTAAGAAGAAGATACTTTAATTAATAATCGAAAGTGATAACAGCGACAGTTTCGTTTGTAATGAATGTGATGATGAATTACAAGCGAAGAAAAGAGAACTAGACGAAACTGTAACAAGAGATTTTATATATCGTATTGGGATTGTTACAATAAGGTTGCTAATCATAAATAAAGTTGTATTCAATGAGAAAAGTCCTATTGGGGTTGAGCTTGATTATTATTTGCAGTGTCCAACACCTAAAAAAGATACTAATTCCTGTGGATGGTGGAGTACTAAGTAATAGGTTTTTAATATCCAATCAAAGCCGGATATTAGGTAACTATCCAGTATACGGCTGGTTTTAAAAAATAGCCGCATAGGCCGGATATCCGTTCCACCACTACTGAATACCAACTAAAACTAGAAGTAACATTAGCATTAAAACTAATACTAGACCTAGAACTAGAAACATTCGGGTTTAGTCGTCTTAAGAGACGTACGGCTAAACCCGAATGTTTCTAGCTAAAGGTTTAATGTTAGTTCTACTTTTCGTACAATAAAAACATACAACACTCTAACGCTGAATAATATTTAAAACTAGAACTGCCGTCCTTGATTAATACATCGTATAGACAACTCGGGGAATACCCCAAGTTTATCTATGAATATGGAAGAGTATACATGGCGATCTAGTATACAAACTTGCCATTTTCTGTGCATTATAATATTGTACTAGTTTTGTACAGGGTCTGTCACGATGAGCTGAGTCTATATGTATATATGGCAAACTACTGGCACTATTTTTGTGAAATTTGCATATAGGGTTTACCCGAAGTGCTCGTTTCAGTTAAAATATTTTCAGTGTTCTTCAACTTCCGGTTATACCGGAAATGGCTCCCAGCTTCGTTATTTTAAATAGAATGTACCAATTTTTATTGAATTTTGGACAACCCCGCTAAATTTTAATACAATTTGATATAAGTCATCATATGTCTAGAGTAGCTATTAGTAGCCAGTATAATATGTCTAGCACCCTTTTTGAATTATTTCAGTTTTTTCGAAAAATTTGGCAGATGCAACCCTTCAGAATAAAAATAATTTTTCGAAATTACACTCGAGTCCCGCTAAATATTCTCAGAATTTGCATAGAGAGTCAAAAATTAAACAGAGTGGTCAGAAATTTGCGCCGAATTTCCCAATCTCCAAAAGTCGAAAACTTCATTTTTTTAAATGGCAACCCCAATTTTTTCCTGCAGCAGCGTATTGTATGCTCAAAAATAAGGGAACTTTGTCATTACATCCCTATATCTAAAATGTATGGTTTTCGTAGAAACTTGAAAAAACTGAAATTTTCTTGGTTATTAGTAAATTTAAAAGAGCAAAGACTTTAGCAGATACCTTTAAATCGGTATATCGCAACGGCATTATAGTATATGACGTAGTATGTAGTATATCTGAATTATTAATAAAGATTGCGTCATTTTTCCCAAAATGCGGTTACTTTTATTACAGTTGTACATGTTTGAAAACCTTAGTAAAATATTAAAATCCTATATTATTTCTGTTGGGTGCTATTGGGTATTATGGCGGCAGTACTCCTGAAAGTGTAGGCCATTTTGTTTGTTTTTCGAAACGCCAGACAGGCTGGATATAGAAGCTGTAAATTGTCAATGTTTATTTTATGCCGTATAAATTATTAAAATATACCTATACCTAATAGTAGGTATACCTCAGGAAAGCTGCAAATGATCTACTTTCGTATTTCACGAAATAGTCTTTCTTTATTATAAAAAAATCACGCTAGTATAAAACTTTTTTTCACCGGTACATTAAGGTACAAAACTAGTACAATACTATAATGCATAGAAAATGGCAAGTTTGTATGCTAAATCGCCAGAATGTAACATTCAGCCAGCCCTACCTTTTAAAAGGGGTTGTTTCTCGAAAACCGTTGGGGTACAAAACTGTTTTCCACCGGTACATTAAGGTACAAAACTAGTACAATACTACAACGCACAGAAAATGGCAAGTTTGTATGTTAAACCGCCAGAATGTGACTTTCCGCTAGCCCCCGCCTTATAAAAGGGGTTGTTTAAGGTAGTTTTTGTTTAACACGTGCGAGGTGGAGATGTGAATTTGTGAGGGTCCTTCGAGTCTGGTTTTGATTTCATTTTCCACATTGGTTTGTGACACCAGACTCGAGTGACCTCTTGGGAACTTACAACATATTTTTTGTGAGCTGTTTGTTCTTGTGCTCAAGTTTGTCATAATTATGTTTGTATTTTCAATTAATTGTTAATTTTTGCATTTTATTCAGAGTTAGGTTAATAAACCAGTTTTCCAATTGGAACTTTAACATTTAATTCTTCCACCTTATCCCGAAACCACATTCCACGGAATTTACCGCAACAAGGTACAAAACTAGTACAATATTTTAGTGTACTAAAAGGTTCGTTTTTGTCAAAAAATGTCGGGGGCTGTCGACATTATAGTTTAAAAACCGTAGGAGTACAAAACTTTTCGTTAGTGGTACATTAGGGCACAAAACTAGTACAATACTTTAACATAAAGATTTTTTGTTTTTGGGTATATCTGGGGGCTGCCTACATGGACCTATAGAATAGAGCAACTTGACTAATAACCCGAGTTGGATTTTATCTATGAGCGCTAACATTTATGTTTAAATATAGTGATTGTATTAATTTTTTGATTTTTGGATTAGGTTTTTTGAATATTAATTTATTTTAATGAT